TCGCAAGGGGTGGAGTCAAGGATTCGGTCCAACGAGAGGTCGACAGAGAGAGAAGGCGAGTCCGCGAGGTCTAGAAATGTTTGGAGGAGATTGTCCACTTGGTGGTTCATGTTCGGGAGCCGGCTAGAGCTTGGGGAGTTGGTGGTGGCAGTGACGGTGGAGGCGGCGGTCGTGGAGGAGGAGGAGGAGGAGAATGGACAGGGACGCTTGGCCATGGAGGTTGGGGTATGGAGGAGGGTATCCATAGTGGGTGGATACGAGAGACAGAAGGCAAGAGGAGACATGGAAGTTTGAGAGAGATGGCGTACGGACGAAGGAATTGCTGACACGTATATGTACACATGGCGCTCATATGGTTCTTGGAGATGGGTGGCTGGCCTCCTTGTGTCCCTTTGTGGGTGATTCTAACATTACCTGAAAGCACGCTTTTAATTTTGTTTAAGATTTCATTCTGAAGAGAAAAGGAAAATTTATATTTATATTTATACTCATTAGTTCTAAAATACTTCCTCCTGCTCACAGCAAGTATCCACATTACTTTTGGAAAATCTCTTAAAATTAATTTTATATATAGCAATGATATATATAATTTCTTCTTTGCTTTGATGATTTGATCAAAATTCAAACAAAATTAAATTGTCTATTTTTATTATATTATTTATCTGATCAAAGAAATTGAACTTATTAAAGTAACTGGAGTTCTCATTGTAAATTTAACAGTCAATTGATTAGATTATATTAATTACAACACATTTATCTCCAATTATTTACTATCTTCAAAGCAGATCTAAGGCTTTTGCTTCTCTGGTTCCCTGTTATGGTTGCCTGTTTAAAGGCCTTTTTAATTGAATTGAATGATCTTTAAAACAAAAAAAAAAAAAAAAAAAAAAAAAAAAAAAAAAAAAAAAAAAAAAAAAAAGCAAATCTCCATACCCCACACCTCGTTGAAACCACCATAATATAAATAAAAAAATCTTCACGAATTCCCCTGCTTAGATAAAAAGGGAATAAATGTCCATCATATGAAAAAATTTCCGGCATTTTCAAGCATTTCTGATGAACACATCAAAGAGGATTACAAATTCCAACATTAACTTTTATTCTCTCAACAAAATTTTTCACTAACCCAATCATAAAAAACCTGCTTGCCAGCTAAAAAAAAAAAAAAAAAAAAAAAAAAAAAAAAAAAAAAAAAAGCAAATCTCCGTGAACACATAATATAAATAAAATCTCAGATTCCCCTGTTAGATAAAAGGAATAAATGTCCATCATATGAAAATTTCGGATTTCAAGCATTTCTATGAACACATCAAAGAGATTACAAATCCAACATAACTTTATCTCTCAACATTTTTCATATATCATAAACTTGCTTGCCAGTAAATTTAACCTCAATGGGACTAACATTCTTCCCAATTGATCTAAAGTTCAGGCCTACTCCTTGCCTGCCAGGATTCACTTTCTCAGGATAAACACCATCCTTTGGGTGAAGATATTGGACCTCTCCATTAGGAAAAACCCTATAAAACTGGTATTTGATCTTGTACTTAGATCTCAATCTAGTACCAAGAGCCAAACACTGTTCCTTTCTGGCCAATTTCAGCAGATTAGGTCCTTGCCTCATGATAGCTGCTCCTCCAGTTGGCATCTCAAAGATCTGCTCTTTTGGTGAATCCCATGTAATGACATAGAACTCTTCGACCTGTGCCTTCCGCAGTAAGCCTCCAGTGCTGCCGCTGAAGATTGGAGAGGGTGTGTTTGGGTCTAGTTCAGGTGGAGTGAAGCCAACTGGAGCAGCCTCTTTCGTTGGAGCTGCTTCAGTTTTCTCTTCAGCTGCTGCTGCAATTTTGAGAGATCTTTTGGACAGAGCCACAAGCTTTGGAGTGGAGAAGGAAGAGGTGGGCTTCCATGGAAGCTTGTTGGATTTTGGGGCGGTGATGGTAGAGGTGAAGAGACCTGCTTGGGTTGCCATGGCTATGCAAATTGTTTGGAGAGGGAAAATTATGGGTATTTCTGTTTTATCAGTTTGGCTGAAAGGAGGAGAAGGTTTTTGGATAAGTGGTTGTCATTTGGATTTCGATTTCCAGATAAGTTGATATTGTTTGAACCAATAGGATTTGCTATTTCGATAACTTTGGTCCCACCATGGCTTAGTCTTTTTTTTTTGTCATACCCCATTTAATTTCAAGAAAAGAAACAGAAAGACAGTCCTACTTTTATCCCCCGACACCGCAACATAGATAAACAATTAAAATCCCGGTACGGACTATACCGTTTTTGGTTGGTAAATAAACTGCTGCATGACGAAGAAAAGCTAAGCAACACAGAATTTTGAGGTTACAATGGGGAGAAGGCTTGAAAACCATTAAACAAGAAATCATAATTCTAACCAGTAAACATAATATATAATCTAGTCATGCTCCAAAGTAAGAATGCTTCATGAAAATCATTCCAGCGTATCCCCATCATCAATCATTGAGCGCGAGCATTCACGACACATAAAAATATACATATAACATATTTTTATGAAAGGAGGGCATCAAATGAGCCAATCCCAGAATTTCCAATTATATCAGGGGATACAGAAAATGCCCTGAAAACCCAGCATCAAATTCCATAAATGGTTCCAGCTAAAATGTAGAAATTGCCCATCATGCTGCTTTCTGTGTTTTTCTCTACTTCTTGATATTCACTTCAAGCAAATGCTTTAGCCTTGCTAAACTTAAATAACAACTGAGACAAGGTTTCAGATGTGTGTAACCTCAATGCATTCCAAAGCATTAAACAACTGGTGGCATTATAATATTGTACAGGAAAATTATTATACAATTAATACCTAATTCTCTTCTGGAGCAGGCATTAATCTAAGCCTTCCATCTGAAGCCTGATTACCGCCAGAAGACCTCTCTTCTGCCAGTAAAGAATGTAAATCACTGCCATTTGCCAAGCTGTTGAATTCTACTGCTTTAGACGGAACAGTTGGATAGCGCCGTTGGCAAAAAGTCATCAGTCTCTTAACAGACTGTAAGTATTTGCGGGTGGTCTCATCATTCATAATGTGGGCAACGCTGTTGGTGTAAATCTTCTCACGGGCTGAGCGTTCATGAATACCAACCATAGTGACACCAATTGGCCACGGTGCATTACCAATTGCAAGCTTAATATAATGATCCATGGCAGCTAGGTAGTCTCTCTTCATGCAGCACTCAACCACCACTAGCAGGGCTTGGCGAATATCATCAGGAAGCACCTATTGCAAGAAGCTATAATGAGTTGCATGTATGACATTCATACAAATCTATGCAGAACAAATACTGATACCGGAAAAAAGGATAAGCCAAAGTCATCTCTAACTACATTTGGATGCCAAGAGTTACAAATGCAAAACTATACGCCTTTCACCCAAATATGCAAAAACCATGATGACAGATGAGTAGCTGCAATATAGATTAAAATAAAATTGAAAATAATACATCCAGGTCATCCATACATCAAGGACTTTAGATATTTATTCCAACAGCAGTTTACAAATAAAAAGAACATTTTCAATTTTGAAGATTCCATGTCCTGTATATGATCCTACTCTTGTGTGTAAACTGGCACTTGGTACCCTTAGGTAGTTGGATTTGATCCCAATTAATAATTTTTTATCAAGAAAGCAAAAAATAAGGCATTTCTTCCACTGTTTCAGGGGTACAATTTCTTCTTCCAAGGTTTGCAGGACTACTGGTCCAGACAGTCTTATTTCTGTTGTGAGCTATTCTCAAGTTTATGCTAACAAACTCCACATTAACGGACTTGGAAATCTTCTCAAATTGACCAAGGCAATGGTATTTATCTCTACTTTCTACAACATACTGTTTATCAAAGAGAAACTATAATCCCAACAGCAATTTCTGTATAATTCACAAAACAATAAATGTCTAATATTCTTCTAAAGTAATTAATATAAAGACTATTAATTTAAGCATCAAAAGTTAATTATCTTACCCACAACAAGTATCGTTTTTAGTGCATAAGGTCCAGGGGAAATTAATAAGGGATTAATAAACAGAAGTGCAGGTGTAGCTTACTAATTTGAAACAAAAAAAAAAAAAAGATAGACTGAGGCAATGTTAGAATAGAAGAATTAGCAGCTTAATGCTGTAGGAACAGCGAAAAAAAACCCTCTAAAATCCAATAATTTTAAGGTGCTTTACGGTCCTATTCCCAGTAAAATGTAACCAACTGCTTCTTGTATGATTCCCCAATCAACTACTTATAAGTTATAACACAATGATTAGTTAGAAACTCAATGTTAATTGCCTTGCCCCTTCCCAGTTCAAGTTTCTGAGTGAAATTGCTATTATTAGTTTGCAGGTTGTACTAATTTTCACTGCTCTACAACATAGATTCGACTTTAACCAATTATATACTCAGAAGCAATATATCAGCATTTAAATGACAAACGGTTATGGGATTGATATAGTAACAGTATTGAAATCAAAGCAGTCAATAATCAAAAGCAAAAAGGCTCACCTTCTTCCTGCAAAACTTGAACAACGGAGTCAAATACCTTGCGCACTGCTTAAACGTAGCAACCATTGACTTCCCTTTAGCCGTACGCTTCTCTGCTTCAGACATCTCATCCAATTCCTGTTTCCATTCATTCAACAACCTTTTGAAGAACACCAAAATTTTATCCTCATCACACAACTCTTCAAAATTGGCCTTCATTCGCTTCAAATCCTTATCAGCATCGACCCCACTGGACCCACCATCGGCACTCAGCTCTCCTTCTCCTTCCCCTACCTCTCCATCTTCTCCCCCTCCTTCCTCCCTATCCTTTCTCTTCCTCTCGCTCGGAATTCCAGTCTTCTGCCTCTTCCTCAGCTCCGCAATATCACGCAAAAAGTCATTGGTTTGCCCTTCAGTCATGTCGCTATCGACCTCAAAGATTCCAGCCTTCAAAACGTACTTCAACCTGTCGAGACGAGCAGCATCATCTTCTCCGAAAAGAGTGATGGGCTGTTTTAGGAATCGAAGGCGGCGGATGACCTCTTGTTTAGGGAGGACAAGGTTATCGATATTTTGCTCGTCGGTTAGGGATTTGGATGTGGTGGCGGTGGATGTGGAAGTGGTGGCTGTTGTTGTCGCGGTGGATGAAGCGGAGTTGGATGTAGTGGATGTTGTGTTTGTGGCAGCGGCTGCTGTTTGGCGTTGGGCTTTGGCTTCGAGTTCGCGTTTTTCTTGTTCGCGGAGCTTTTGAATTTCCTTCTGTTGGATTTCAGATCGCTTGAACACTCGTTTCCCGCCGGTGTCTTGAGCCAGGGATTGGCGTTTCTTGAGGAGTTCTTGTTTGAGGAGATCCATCTAGGGTTTCGTCTGGGACGTTTGATCCTGATTTCCGACGGTGAAGTCGATTTTGTTGATGGCAATCAACGAATCGGAGCGTGTGAGACTAATAATTCGGGTTTGGGTATTATCCCTCTCTCTATAAGAATAAAAAATAAATTAAATTAAGGGGCAAACCAATTCAACGACATGTCGTTTGAATCAATTCATGAGCCACGCAGCCAGAGCTAGGCGATGCCGCCATACCGGGCCGATTTAAAGCTAAATCGAACCTGAATCTGACTGAATTTTTACAAACCGAAAATCGTCCACCGGTAGAATAGAAGAGCAAACTAAAGTTTATTGACGGATAAGACGAACGACAACAAAAGGGCTTTCATAAAATTGTACATTTAAGAAAAACATTGCTCCATCCTCCTAAATTTGAAAGCAGATTTAAAGACAGCATATGCGGAACCTTTCCAGCAAAATTACAACACAGCAAGCCCACTCTTCTGTTCATCAAGCCAAGTTTTGCTTGCTTGCTCAGAAAATAAGAGAAAACCAAAGAAAATTTATTTAGTGTTGAACAGATCCATATATGAGGCGACATGTATGGGAGCTGACTACGTGAGGAAACTAAATAAACAAGCTTCCAGCATATTCTATCAAGTGGTGAATCATTTTCTTCTTAATTTAGCTTACGCTATATAAATTTACCCTATAAACAATTACAGATATTAAACATGCTTAAAAACATGTGACTTGATATCATAGAGTTAAACAGTTACAGATCTGCACATTTCCGAAAAGGATCCTATCGAACTAGCCAAATAGAGCTTGTAACATTTTCTACTTACATTTTCTCTACAAGTTAAAATTACAAATATTTATGCATATCAAGACGGAGAGAATTGACAAATCCATTTTTACTCTAAATCATTAGATCTTCCTCAAACCATATGTATCTTCAACACCATTTATCACTTTTTTTCTTCGTTCAGCAATCATTTCTGCATATGCCTGTCAAAAAAGAAAAAAAGAAAAATTTGCAATGCCTTGCGTCTTTTTCTGCTGATTTTGTATTCTAAATAGAATATCACAACAAATACAATTACTAAACATGCAAAAATGAACATTGCTCCTTTTCAGATAGAAATTCCTTGTGAGAAAGCAAACAGAATATTATACTACTTTCCTTTTGCTTTAAACAGAAAATATTATACTACTTTCAAAAAATTCAAAAAAGGTGAGCTTTATTTTTTTGCAAGTGGTGTCAAATTTTAATAAAACAAGCATATATACAAAACTAAGAGGTGCATGATGGACTTTAAAATAAAATAACTTGATAGTGGTGAATCTTCTCTTTTTAAGCGAGTCTAAGATGCAACAATGCATGACAACCTTTCTAGGATGCCTCAGTACATAGTCATGGGCATCCTAGAGATGTGGAACAACCATTTAAGGACTGGTATCCAATGCTATAAACAACTTCCACACGTATTTGTCAAGCAAATTTTGAACTTCAAAGATCATAATTTAAACATCAAATCATCTCATTCCATAAATTCCCAGCAAATTCAAATGTCATTATTGTTTATTCTGCACCTTAACGCCACAATGTCATCTGATTTTTGAAGCCCTTTAAGCACAGACAGTTTCTTCCAATATCAAACATTAAGTAAAAAAGCCTTTTTTTTTGTGATATCAGGGTGATGTCTAGCCCTTATAAGTTAGGACTGACTAGCGGACAGACATAGTTATTGCTCTAGTTTGAGAAATATATTCTATTTGCATCAAGCATCGCCTTATTACTCCAATTTTAAATTCCAAAACAGAAAGAGGGTAAGCAACAGAGACTCCTAGTTAACTGCTTGAATCAACTGTTCTGACTTGCAACAATATGTGGCCTTTAACCAAATCCAAACTTTCATAAGTTGAATACAAACAATAAAAATTATGTAACACAAGGATTTAAAAAAATGGAAATGATTTGTAACTCCCAACTTCAATAAGCATAATAAAGAATAAGAGAAGCTAATACGCAAATATTAATTGTTAGCTAATACGCAAATATTAATTGTTAGGTGATGTGATACCTTGGGATAAGAATACAGAAAAATGTACCACCAGCTACAAGTTAAGAAGAGCACAATACTAGTAACTACAACTGAGTGCAAAATCAACCAACTAAAGGCAATTGCCAATACTCCAGTGAGTGTTATTGTCCATGGTTGACACCTAATGCCAAAAAAAATGAAATCAATCAAATAGCACCCTAAAACAAGCACAAATGCATGCAAGTATGCTCAAATCGAATTTAAATAAAAACATAAAGATTATAATTTAAAGCAATTCTTACACAGACACACACACATATATATATCAAAATGTTTAAGGGTAATATCAACATTTAAAACTACTGACTCGGTGTATGATTTTAAAAAGCATGTTCCACATCAACTATTTCATGCCAGTTTGATCCAAACTGGAAATCCCTCGTACAGGAAAAGATTAAAAATGTCTTGCATGTCTTGCATTTAATCATACTCCATCTACTCCCACCAGATTCCTCTAGGAATTACATTCCTCTAGAGAAGCAGTTCATTTTCAGCCATCAAGAATTCGCGAAAGACCTAAAGGTATGAATCCATCATCTTGAATGTGAGAATTATGGAAAATGGGATCCTTAACAATACCTAAGGCTATGGAATTTTATGATCTCATGAACAATGTTTACCAGTAAGTGATCCAATGACTTCATCTTCAAAAGTAGCCTCATTCCTAATTTCCAATTGAAGAACTTGAAACAACTTAAAAGAGAAAAACCTAATGGAAATCAAATTTTGGTGCCAGTTCCAAACATGCCTGTAAGTTTCCCTAACCAGAGATAGCTCTACGAATTATAACAACCAAGAAATTTCACCTATCCTTAAAGAAATTCAACTGAAAACATATTATGCTGTATAAAATCAAAGGAAGAAAAGCAAATTCTAATTCAAATATCACAGTTCTATATAGAAGCAAATGTCTAAATTAAGTTATTTGTATGTATTCACGAAGAGAGTATCGAGGCTTACCATGACGGCTTGGTGTCCCAAACAGAGTCATATTCGAGAGAGAGAGAGTTGAGATAGCCATCCATATCATCAACTACACCATTTTCATCGAAGAATTGAGACTCGTTTGGGTCAGTTGATGAAGAATTACCTCCAAAAACTATAGTTTTGCCTCGTATCCTGGCAGAATCGAGAGTGTTGGAGGATATGCGGGGCCATGAAGGGGATTTTGGTAAATCATTTCTTCTTGAAGAGGAGCGATTCGGTCTCAATGGAAAAGAGAGGGAGAGCGGAAGCAAGAGAGATAGAGTTCCCATTGCTCTCTGTTGCAAATTGCAAGTTAAAAGAAAAAAAAATTCGGGGGTTTTACAGTTTGGACTTTGGAGCAGTATTTAACTGATTGAAAACGAAAGGTCGTTATTTATTGTGAGCCTAACAAATGCATTGTCGTTAAACGACATCCAACATTTTCTTAAATCAACTTATTTTTTTAATTCATCAGAGGCTTTTACGTGCTGAAATAACATTACGAGCTATACAACAGGGATACTCATCACCTTGCCTCACCAAACTGGTGACAAAAACTGTGGTCAGGAGATCCAACTCGAGAACACTCACTCCTCGCATAAGTGAGAAGACCAACCAAATCACCACCTATTTGGATTCTTAAATATAATATTATCGAAACTTATAATTAATATATTGTTATAATTCTCTGATTTCATTATAAATTTAAATATATTGTTTATAATTTTAGACTTTTTTTTTTTTTTTGAATGGAAACATGTTATAGTTCTATAAGTTCAAAATTTTAATACTTTTAATTAATTTTAATATGAATCATAAAATAAAAGGAAAAAAAAAAAGAATCCTTTAGAAAATATTTCCTTGACCTATATATATATATACATGGAAGTTAACAATCCAACTCAGTCTCGCTATAAGAAGATCATCCAAACATGAAGCGTAAAATAGCAGGATTCTCGAATCTAAGAGTCCTATTCCTGTCTCGAATCCAAGAGTCCTATTGATAAAGTTTTTCCATAATATGAGCCATCAAATTCGCACAAGGTAAGTTTTTTTTTTTTTGGCTTTTATAGGTGTTTCAGATGGTATATGCAGTTGATGCCGTCAACATTTAAGAAGCTTGCAGGTAACTCTTTGCTGCCATTATCAAAAATCTACTATTATTTTTTGTTTAACGATCTTAATCTTTTGAAGTTTTCGTTTCCGCTTGCAATTAACTTGTACAACTCTTGCAGTTTAGTCTATCAGTGAATTCTTTTTTTGGTTTTTTCAGGTTAATAAAGCTAATATGGATTCTGACCAGTATATCATAAATCAACTAATCAACAAATTTATAAGTCAGCCTGTTCTCATACGTGGATTAATTGTAGCAGATATTCAACATTACAACCCACAAGATATCTTCTCATGTTTGTCTTCGGATCTTCTATGTCTTTCAACTTTCTTGCTCAAAATTATTAGATTCAAATTGACGTTTTAGAGTGAATATTTATGTGCCTGTGGGCGGTGCAGTAGCTGATATGGCAACAAATGCAAATGGGAATAAGGAATGCTACATTTTGACGCCACCAAGACGATTTGTATTTGTATTGCCATGGTTCCCAGTTCACCGAGCAAGAAATGGATACTGGAAGAAAGATGGATATACAGATCTTGAAATCTATGGCAATAATGGAATAGTAGGAGTCAAGCAAAAGTTTCATTTCTATGAAGGGGGTATAAACAATGGCCGAAAAACAAATTGGTATATGATCGAGTACAGTTTGAAGGAGCATTGTTGCTCAGTCACATGCGACCATGAGAACGGAAGGGTAAGATTCTAATGACCAAGATTACGTTTTTGGTATTCCTGTTTAAACTGCAGTTTGAATTAAGAAAAAAAAAAAAAAAAAAAAAAAAAAAAAAAAAAAAAAAAAAAAAAAAAAAAAAAAAGAAAGACATGATATACAGATCTTGAAATCTATGGCAATTAATGGAATATAGGAGTCCCAAGCAGAAATGTTTCATTTCTATGAAAGGGGGTTATAAAACAAGGCCGAATACAAATTGGTAATATGATCGAGTAACAGTTTGAAGGAGGCATTGTTGCTCAGTCACATGCGACATGAGAACGGAAGGGTAAGTAATTCAATGACCAAGATTACGTTTTTGGTATTCCTGTTTAAACTGCAGTTTGAATTAAGAAAAAAAAAAAAAAAAAAAAAAAAAAAAAAAAAAAAAAAAAAAAAAAAAAAAAAAAAAAAACCGATTGAAAATGTTTAGCCCTTAGTGAAATAATTAGCAAAATAAATATAAAAAAAAAAAAAAAAAAAAAAAAAAAAAAAAAAAAAAAAAAAAAAAAAAAAAAAAAAAACCGATTGAAAATGTTTAGCCCTTAGTTGAAATAATTAGCAAATAAATATACCTGTTTCAAATCCTCAAACATTTCTCTTCACTTTGTGTCTCTGATCAGTACATTTCTCTGTTTTTCAGCTGGAGAACTGGGTTGTGTGTAAAATCTATCAAGATTTTGGTCCAGATCACTTGACTTCAGAGATACAAAAATTGAATATTTAGAACAAGAGCTGAAGCATAGGTTTGCTAATGGTTGTGCTTTAAGCTGTTCATTTGTATCTTTTACTTTGTACAAGTTGCTAACATATGGGAAGAAATTATCAATTTCAAGCTCATTTCAAAACCAGCTTTAAAGAATAAGATCCATTTATGGCAAAAAAATGCGTAAATGTACTAAATAATGGAACTCTTTTTTCTTTCAAATCACCAAATTGTCAATGTATTAAAACACAAATACCAGTCGCACTTTTAGTACACCACCAGTATCAGCTACGCATCTGCCATCCTCTCTCTGAAACTAGAGCAGCAAAAAGAGTTCATCTTTTACATTTAATAACCAATGCTTGTGAATGGAGCTGTAACTCCCGCTTAGTTTGATCTGAAATCCTTGTTATACCTACCAACCGATCCTTTGAATTGGATTGGATTACCCTAAAGAAGCTTACTGCCACCAACTTCTTATTTTAATCTTTTATTGAGATTAGAAAGGTCATTCCAAACCAAATGTCCAAAATAAAAGATTTATATTTTTGTGAAACCCGGAACACTGGCATGACAAACCAGCCATCTACCACTATAGTACTACAGTACTACTGCTGGTAAACAAGAACTCACATGCAACAAGATCAAAATAGTTACAACTCACAAGTAGAGCTCCATATTCCAAGAATAAAGACATCTGCTACGAGGAGTTACTCTCATTTCCTCGAAATAAAAGCCCCTATTTCGTTCTAACAATAAAAGTGTTCACGGGAGTACAGAAAGGAAAGCTTACTGCAATACCCCAAAAAGGTGTCACATGAGTAGAACATAACTTGCATTTTGCAACCTCAGAAAATCAAAACATGAATTCTTAACTATATCACTAAAAGCAATTAAGAGAAATGGGTTAGTGCAACAATATAACAAGTTAAATTGAAAAGAGGAATGAAAAGAAACTTATAATTGCATTTACCGTATCTCTATCACATCATTCTTGAAAACATTGCAGGAAGTATCTGCTAAAAAACTCAACAATTGAACATAAACTTTTATTCATTCTTCCAAGCATACAATATAAGTGAGAAACCAAGACCTTGTAATTGGTAGTCTCTGAATCGCTGAGAGTATGACCAAGTCAATACAGAGGGGTCAAAAACAGATTGGCTAGACCATAATTTCTCAGCAGATAGGCAAGTTTGGAACATGAAAACTGCATTGCCCATTGCATTACCAAATAACCAGTTATGGACATCCCAGAAGACTTCAACAGGGAGCCCATCCACCAATATGGTATGATTGCCCCGGAACTTCCACTTTAGTCTCTTGACCTGCATTACTATCTTACTATCAATGCGGATCACAAGACATGGATCTTTAAGATCAACCGTATCACATTCGATTGTGACATCATGCATCTGCCCCTTATCACAAAACTGAGCTTTTGCACCATAAAACTTCTTCCCAAAAATATGCTCCCTTTTAGCAATAAAAATGGCAGCGGAATGTATCGAGGCATTATCAATTTTCTTGTATGCTTCTTTCTTCATATCTCCAAGAAGTAACACCATATCTTGGTTAAATGCAATAGCTAAATAAAATCCTTCCAAAGGTTCAGGTCCAGAGCCAAATTTAGCATTAGATAAATCCCAATATATATCAATTTTACAAGAATCAACCTCTAAATTCTTGCACCCTTTTCTTTTAGAGAACAACCATGGTTTTATATCAACTTTACAAAGACAATGATTAGCTGAATCATCAATTGCAACACTAAGACCTTGACCCATGAGATTCTTAGTCCAAGTAACAGTAATTAAGCAAAAACGACCGCGTAATTTACATTGATAAACACAAGTAACCAAATTCTGTGCAGCTTTTGTGGTGTTTGAAGCTGATGAATCAGCTACTTGAACTCCACTTTCACCAAAACAAGAAGGGAAGTCCCTCATTATACCAAAACAAGAAAACCCAATATCTTTCTCTACAAACCCTTAGCACTCCTTGCCAAGAAAAAAACAAAAGAATCTAACAAAACATAGAAATTTACAGTACCTCACTTGTCAAAAAAACATGAACAGGAAAACCCATAATCCAAAAGCTCCAAAATCAGCTTCTTCATGCTTTAATTTGATCTGCTATTTACGATTTTTGCTCCCGGAACTGAATATGTGAGAAAGAAAGGGAGGCAAAATAGAGGGAGGACTTAGATTTGGTTGATTTCTAAATGCGTGTGCTTGGATTATCAAAGGAATTTGTAGAGAAAATAAATAATTAATAAAAAGGAGAGAGAGAGATGGGGTAGTGAAGGGAAGGAGAGCGCTAGTCACATGGGAGAGGAACCATGAAAGAGTAAAAACTAGAAAGAAAACGGCAAGCTGGATGTTTGCTGGAAAAGGACTGGTTATTATACTACACGTTACACGAAAGAGAGAAAAGCTAAAGCTATGCCCTTTCTCTTTCCTTCTCTCTCTCACACACATAATTAAACTAAATTTTTAATTTTAATTCATTTTCCTCTGGTCTGTAATTACAGGAATCATAACGGGACTTCACCTTTAACTGACATAACACATGCATTAGAGTTAAATAAATCAAAAATTAAAGCTTTAAAACGCCAAAACTTTTGTAATTTTCTTTTTTCCTGTAATTTCATTTGATTACTTTTTCGTGTTGAATTTGTATTTTTTCTTTTTGACAATACTTAATTGCAGTGAAGAAAATTAAGAAAAGAAAAGGAGTGGAGTGAAAAGGGAAAGGTCCGAAAGGAGAATTAGAAAGGAAGGAAACAGACAAAGAGTGTAATGGTTGAAATAGAATTAATTTATCATCATTTCCTGCTACTGTTAAGTTTGCTTTGTCTATATTATTATTACAATTAATTGCACTTGCACTTATGTTTTTTCCTTTTTTTTTTTTTTTTTTTTAACAATTAATTGCACTTGCACTTATGTTTCCTTTTTTTTTTTTTTTTTTTTGCCCTTTTTCCTTTTTTTTTTTTTTTTTTGCCCTATATGGTTGAAAGCATAATGACAATTATAGATATTAGGCCTCTATGTGTAAATTTTTGCAGTATGAGATATTATAGGTTAGGTTTTTTGGGTGTTGTGATTGGATTTGTAACTTTATAATATATTGATCGTCTTGAGTATATGAAGTAAAAGATTTAAACTTTTATTCATAGCTATATTCTCCTTTTAAAATTTATATTTGAGCAAAATTGAAAATAGTGATAAACAATTTCAATTTATTTATCCACTTTTAAATTCAGAAATTCCAAATAAATTAAATAATAAATTTATTAACTAATTCTAACCTGACTTTTAAAATTAAACAGACCTGTTTAGATCAAACCAAATCAAAATCAAAATCAGTTCAAACGTTCTTATTCGAAACCATATCAAAATTAGTTGAAGAGGACAGACCTTGTCTTGTTTCAATCTCTCTATGGTTAAGAACCGAAACCAATTGATAGAATCAATAATTTTAGATTTTTCTAAAATTAATATCGAAATTATGCTGAAACTAAAATTAATGAATTCAGATCCTAAAACAATGATTCTAACTCTAGTTTTCCAAACCTTATTGATTCATAATGAATAATAAATGAACCGACCACCGTATAAATTAAGTAATAGATATGATACACGATAAAAATATTAGGTGCACACACTCAACTAACCAAATTCAACCAAAAAAAAAAAAAAAAGTTTTATGTTGACTAGTGAAAATTTATAATCCTTTAAAAGAAAATAGTAAACATCAATTTATTTTTTTTCTGAACGTGTTTGAAAGGATTCTTAATTTGAGAGTTATATTATCATTAGGCTGTGCTTTCAAAAGCATGAAAGATCAATTCTTAATCGTAAGACCAATGTGCAAATTATGCTATCTTCTTTTCTTTTTTCTTGTTCTTTTTTTTTTTTTTTTTTTTCATTGTTCTTTTTTTTTTTTTTTTTTTCTTTTTTTTTTTTTTTTTCTCATTTATGTGCCTGCTTTCACAAAAGTAGCATAAGTCAACTACTTTACAACTTCAGAAAATGGCAAGAAAAGAGGACAGCCTTGGAGGGGAAAAAAACACAGAGGTGAAAGGTGTATGTGTATGATAAATAAAATAAATTACTATAAATTATTAAGTGGAACGTATATATTCTTGAAATTTTGATTTTTTTTTCAATATTATTCCTGATTTTTTGAAAATATACAACTAAATGATTTTATTATTATCACAAAAAAAGAGAAAATAAATTTGAATTTGGGAACCGTTATGCTTTACCATGCAAAAAAGAGTTACACCTCTGATAAATGTAATAAAATACATAATGCTGCTGTTGACTTCAATTTAAAAAGAAAAAATAAAGAGAAAGTAAATTAGATTAAAGTAATTTAATTTGTGAATGTTAAATTCACAGCTCAAATAGATTATATCCAGAACATAAAGAATAAAAATTTGGATTCCATGAAAATGCCAAAGAGAAAGAGGGATATGGAGAATCACGTGCACATGTAGGTGCTTGGTTGGCATGTCTCATGGGTGATCAGGAATCCAAATAAATGGTCTCCAATGAAAGTGATAGCCTGTATATATATATATATATATATATATATTAATATTATTATATAATATGATTGACTATCAAATTTCATAAAATATCACTTTGATAAAAAATTAGTGTATATATATGATTGACTATCAAATTTCATAAAATATCACTTTATAAAAATTAGTGTGTTGTAAATTCTCTTCATGGATAATAAATTTTAAAAGTATTAAACATCTCAATAAAATCTTTAAAATTTTGAATCTTACAGTGGTTTGGAACAAATGAATAATGGTTGTAAAATTCATTTGTAAATGAATATGTCATGTTTGGTATGCTACAATTTAAAATAAAGAATTCAATTTTATTTCACAAAATTATGTTTGTAATAAATACTTAAATGAAAAGTCATTTATTTTTATTTCCTATAAGTAACACCGTTGATATAATACTTTAATAAAAATAAATAATAAACACTAATTTTATTTATTGCGTACAATATAATAACTCGTCTTTTTTATAATATAAATAATAAGTTCCATATAAATAAGTATACTAATATTCCACACTAATTAATTAATTATATAGGCAATAATATTCACCATAATAATTATTTTTAATTGATGTTGTTGATTTAAGTAATTAATTTGAAAACAAAAAATATTAAGAATGTTACTATTGTTTATAATTGCATTCGAAAACAATTGTTGAATTTTGTTAACAAACATTTTAATGGTCAATTTTGTGGAATTCATTTACAAATTCCATCAATTTTAGTAGAATTTGAGTTAGCTATACCCAATTTCATAGAATTCAATTCGCAGAATTCAAATATATTTTTTCATTTCAAACATAACATTTTGGATTTTCAAATGAATTCCACAAAATTTTATGAAATTCATTTGTTTCAAACGGACTCTTAATCATTTTTCTTTAACAAGAAACATTTAGGTTAATATCTTTCAATTAATTTAATTTGAAAACATAATTCAAACTCAAAACCCCTTTTAAAAAATAATTTATATGCCATTAGGTTATATAAATTTGTGGATATTTAACATTTTCTTCATCATTAACTATTGAGGCGTTGAATTTGATTTTTTTTTTTCTCTTGGATAAGATTTATCTACACACGGTTTATGAATGTGGTCCAATACATTAAACCGGTATATAAATATTTAAAAATTTATTATTGTTTTATCTTTTTTTTACATGAGTGATCAGAAATATTCTCATTACAATAAAAGCTTTAATTGATTTGATGTATTAAATGGATCCGTATATCTAAAATAGAAGAAAAACTAATAATGAGTGTAGGTTTTAAAAAATTGTGTTAGTATCAATCGCATGCCTTAAATTTGGATAATGAGATTAATAATTTTAACTCCATGAATTAACAAAAATTAGAGATTAATAATATAAATTGTTTCTGAAATAAAAAAAAAAAATCAAAATATTTGTTTGATGTCAACGTAGTTGAAGAAAATGGATTGGAGATTAGGTGCCCCGCACCACCTAGCAACAACTAATTTTGTTGAAGGTTGGACCGCCTCTTTGGAGTTGTAATCAATGACTTTTGTCCGAGTAATAAACATTTCACTCTCACAAACTTATCGCTAAAGCATTATTTGATCACCAATTATGACACTTAACCAGAAAAAAAAAAAAAGAATATATAATTAGTTATTATCATTCTTTTCTTTAATATTTAACCTACAATGTCAGTATTCAGTCAAATCATAAAAGTTCAAAGATAGAAAAATGATTTTTGTCCCAGACCATGATAAGTTAAATATTAGGGTATATTAATACATATGTATTACGTCAGAAAATATATATATATATATATATATGGGGATTGAAATTAGGGTTCCCAAATTGGACCTGGACCGATTAATAGCTTCAAAAGTGCCTTTTTTTTTTTTTATTGAAAAACTCAAAAAATATTGCATTTATAGTCATGAAATTTTCTTTTAGCAAAATAAATTAGTCTTGTATTTAAAAAGAATAGTGATATAATTGTGGCAGGAAAATTAGGTCATAAAGATAAAATTGGTGTCCAGAAAAAAAAAAAAAAAAAAAAAGAATAGTGATTTATAATTGTGGCAGGAAATTAGGTCATAATAAGATAAAATTGGTGTCCAAAAAAAAAAAAAAAAAAGATAAGAACACAACAATGCATTTGGTTGCTAACATGTTCAAACTGGGTTGTTGAACCTGACATCAGAGGATTAGACTTTCCACTTGGCGGACCAACCCATCAACTAATGTCTCATCTCATCACAGTTATATTAATAATCGAAAATTATGGTGTTCGTGAAATTCTTAAACTGGTTTAATATTCATATTTTGGCATTAATTAATAGTTTTAAAGCACTTGTTTTTCAGATTATTGTAATTTATTTATACTATTATATAAACCATTTTTGCAATATAATATCTGCTTCGGATCGTTCGTACCATTGATCCAATGTTGATGTCCTGATTTTTTTTTTTTTTAATATGAGAATAATTTGCCAATCTAATTCTCTTAAATAGTCTCAGAGAAATAGTTAGAACAAGAATAATTCTAATTATGAATATATAATTAATGAATAATATATATATTATATATATATATATATATATATTAATATATATATATATATATATAATATTCTTTTATTTTTCAGTTTGCTGTCATTTCATCGAATATGGCAATCCAATTTGGCAAACTCAGACTTTTGACCTAACAACGTAGTCCGACACAATAAGGCCTTCGTTCCTAAGACTCGCCATAACGAAACACAACTGATTTAGTACATTTCAAACGTCTCCTTCAACTCTTCTAAAAATCCTGAATAATAATTGAAATCTCTAAAAAAATAAGTCAAAAACAGCTTTAACACTTCTACTCGATCATTTTCTTTTCCAAGGAATTATTAAATGGATCATCATATCTTTTTTTTTTTTTTTTTTTTTTTTTTGGATTTAAGATTTATAGCCATTAGCAAAAATCCATCTATTTGGCATCGATCCCACGCAAAAATCTTCTCCTCCTTTATTCTCCTATCCTCATTCCCGATCCCATGGGGATGACGACCAGGAGTGGATCTGTAAAGTACCCGACCATCCTACACCTGTAAAAGTCAACCATCGTCAATTGTGATTTACAGGGTAACTCCTCTCCAGAGTTACTTTATCAATTATCAGCAATCACATCCGCAAGAATGCTCATATACAAACAGGTAGTTACCCTTAGCAAAATCGCTCATTTTAACAAATGAAGTGCCTTCGAGTAACAGACGTATGAATACCGGCACTAACGCCACGCATCGAGGAGGAATTCTTATGCATAATTGCATCCAAGAATGAAAAGTGTTTCGGGCAGCATCAGCTGCCATTAAGATTCATAAATTTTAACTGAAATCAATGTCTCAATTAAACAGAATAGAATTAATGCAGATTAACAGGGAGATTTTTTTTTTTTTTTTTTTTTTTTGGATTTAAGATTTATAGCATTAGCAAAATCCATATTTGGATGATCCCACGCAAAAATCTTCTCCTCCTTTATTTCTCCCTATCTCATCCCATCCCATGGGCTGATGACCAGGAGTGATCTGTAAGTACCCGACCATGCCTACACCTGTAAAATCAACACGTCATGTGATTACAGGTAACTCTCTCCAGAGTTACTTATCAATTATCAGCAATCACTGCAGAATGCTCATATAACAAACAGGTAGTTACCGCAAAATGCTCATTTAACAAATGAAGTGCCTTCAGTAACAGACGTAGAATACCCCATACGCCCGCACGAGAGATTTCTTTATGCATAATTGCAATCCAGAATAAAATGTTGGCAGCTCAGCTGCCATTAGATCATAAATTTTACTGAAATCATTTCCAATAACAGCAATAATTAATCAATTAACAGAGAGAGAGAGAGCAAAAGCCATTTAGCAGCAGCAGCAATAAAAGCATTTGGTACGGCAAAGGAGAACTGTCTGTACAGATAACGGACGCAAGAAACAGGATGAATGGTCCATCCAAAAAGCGAATCAATTTATCCTGCAATGCCCTTTTGTTTAACAGTAACAGAGACCTTGCCTTCAAATAATTGTCATGGTCCGAGGTGAATATCATTGTGAAAGCAGAAATCACCATAAGATACATGTACTCCAACAATATCAGAACAAAAGTAAAAAATGTTGAATACCATATTAAAAAGCAATCATCTAGAAGGGAAAAAAAGGGAAATCAAAATGCTCCCCAATAAAATGTGAGATCCCTTGTTATGGCATGCTTAAGCAAGATCGGGACATCATCGCATGCCTACTTCTGCCTGAAGCAATTATACATCAATGTTTTCAGCAGGTTTCTGTGTCTCTGCCCATGAGTGGTCTCCAGCATTCCCTTGGTCTAGTCTTCAAAATGTCTGTGGGATGCCTATGATCCTATAAATGTGAAATAAAAATATTAAACATTTCAAAACACATTCATACACTTCAAAAATCAAAAATTAATTTTAAACACACTTCCAATACAGAACCAGTGGCATTAAAAACTCAAAAATTAAAAACACATGACACTCTGCTTTTTACCACAATTAATGAGTTTTACATTTTAAGAAAAACCATTCGGGCTGTATATAACGGGACAGTAACAAGAAACAAAGGGACTATCTAATCAAAAAAAGTCCAGTCCACTGGTTCCTAATGGAATCTTTCTCCAGCTGCTGCAAGAGGTTTATCATGCATTTGCAAACAGAACAAGATTTAGCATCTACTTCTCCCCCAACATAACAATTTTTTTGTCTCGCCACGGAAACATGATTACAACGATTTGAGCATGCAAGAAACTGAGGACAACTCATAAACCTCCTATTAGGACATACAAGTCTCATCTAGGACTTACGCAAACTCCATGCACCATTACTGCACCATTTCATTCACTTGACAAATCTCTGTCAATACCACTTTTCTTTGTTAATATATTGTATTTTCATAGACTTCAGCCATACTGTATCATAGGCCTAACAGTTCAAAGTTCGAATAATGGGATTCCCCGGGTTTACTTGCTCAGTATGTCTCCAAAATTTGGAGAGCAAAAACTAATTATCAAATGCACATGCCATGAAATTTCCCAACTATGGTCCTATTTATAGTATGTTACCAATAAATGGTTCAATTTAATCATTAATTAACTTAACCATCAGATCATTTTTCCAGTTAAATCATCAAAGAAAGCTGGCAAGTCAACCAGACAAGAAGTGATCAGGACATTTCCTAACACATAAAAACAAATCAAGAGACAAAAGGATTTTATAACAAGAAACCAAGTCATAGGGAGTTGTATTAATTACAAGACATTTCCGAACACATAACCAATCGATTACAAGAAATTTTCACACCATAAAAGCAAGCATAGGGAGCTTCTTCAACCTACCCTAGATCATTTGGATTCACAGATTTTGTACGTTGCATTCCTACTATGGAAACCTCGCCCCAAGTTCTTGCTTGAAAAACATGAAACCATGAATTTCAGATAACTGCATGATACCCAATAGAAAAATGCTCTCCCTTGACATATAAGGTATCAAGGTACTTAGCACAAATCACTCTTATCTGCACCACTTTGAAGATTCACATTTCAACTTCATCAAGCACTCCTAAAATACTCACACTTCTATACTGTGGTTTTGGCCTACCAAATAACAAATTTTGCTTTCTCAAGCTTCAAGTCAGAGAACCTCTTTATTTGAAGTTGATGATAATTGAAATAATCTTAGATTGGCACAGCTGTAAATAGAGGATACAAACATCAAACTGTCAGGTTGATTAAAAGTAGAACAAAAGTGATTTGGGGTTTTAGATTGATGAAGGCGTAATCATCATTCCAAAAAGATATGTATCATTCCAATAGAACCAAGCAATTCAAAGGCATGCTAACAACAGGTATGTATCATTCCATTAAACAGCAATTAAAATACATAGGTTTAAAAAGATTTAAAGAAGATACGACACAAATAACAGTTCCGCACCTAATATCAAGCATCCGCACCATCAGACGCCTTTGCTGCAAAAGGATCATGACTAGGACCAACGTCCTGCCCAATATGACGCTGCACCAGCCTCTGCAAATCAGCCATAACCTTGTGCTCACGTTTTGCTTTCTCTTCATAGTTAAACATGGCCAACGCACGCTTATCCTCAGCACTGTATACCTGGTTTTCTTTCCTAATACGAATGGCATTCATCCTTTGATGTCTACTGCCACTCATCACATACCCAAGACTTTCAAACTTTTGAATCTCTTCAGCAGAAAGACCCACTTCACCTCTACGTGGAATACGCTTTCCTTGCTGTACATACTGTGCTATGGCATCACCTTCACCAGGCCTTAGTGCCCCACCATAACTAATATGTCCCTCAGCTCTGGGCATCGGCATTGGACCAACCACAGGCTCATTATCGAAAGCCGGTTTCTTTTGTGACTCGATCATTTCTTTAAACTTGAGTGCCTCGGCATTAATTTCAGCCTTCGTGATCTCATCTGTCATTAGTTTTCCATTCGCATCGGTTTCAGAACCTGAACTCTTATCAGAATATGACTTGTCAATCTCTGTTTCAGACCTCCTCTTTTTCTTGCTGCGTTTAGACCCTGAACCTGAAGAGCGTCTCCGCTTCTTAGACTCGGATGCTTCACTCTCACTATCATCCGAATCACTGTACCTATTTTTCTTCCTACTACTTCTTCTTCCTTTTCTGCTACTTCTTTTGCTACTCTTCTTTCGACTACTGCTGCTGCTCTTTTTACGTGAATTCTTTCTGCGTTTTCTATACCCTTCAGAATCTGAATCAGAGTCAGTTCCAGTACTCTCGCTGTTATCATCATCTGATTCGCTGTACTCGTCCACTGATGATTTCCTATGCCTGTGCTTAGAATACGAAATCTTCCTCTTCTTTGACTGAGAATAAGAATCGTCTGACTCCGGGTCAGATTCAGCCTTGGACTGGCTCTTTGAATCACTGCTCCCTGACCTCCCAGACTCAGAGTCTGATCTAACCTTTCCACCACCCAACTTTCCTTTCTCTTCCTTCTCGCTGCAATTGCTTTTCTCTTCATCTCCCCCATACTTTTCCGAAATCTCATCAGCTTTGTCTTCCCAATCATCTTCTTCGTTGTCAGCCCTTGGCGGACTAGGGGTAAGAGTCCAAATACAATATTTCAGAATGTTCTTTCTCATCTTCTGCCTCTTCAGTCTCCTCCGCTCTTCAAAGCTCAATCCCCTCAATTCCTCGTCAGATTCTGATTCCGAGTTCCTTCCGTCGCGATAACCGCCACGGTCAAGGTAAGCGCGCCCCCTGCCGAAATTCTTTGGCAGAGAGTCTAGGGATTTTCTAGGCCTAGGGCTTGGGCTTCTTCTTCTAGGGCTTGGATAATCAGGTGAGCTTGAGCGATAGCGTCCACGATCGATTTCTCGGTGACGTTCATCGTACCTATGGTAGGAGGGACTGCGGCGGTCCCTACGGCGGTTTTGTTCGGTCCACGATCGATTTTTTGGTGATACTGGCCTGCCCATTATTGGGTGATTGCACAGAAGGTATCCTCGAATATCCTTCCCGTCGATTTTACCAAAACAAGAAACCCAATATCTTTCTCTATAAACCCTTAGCACTCCTTGCCGAGAAAAAAACAAAAGAATCTAATAAAGCATAAAAATTTTCAGTACCTCACTTGTCAAAAAAACATGAACAGAAAACCCATAATCCAAAAGCTCCAAAATCAGCTTCTTGATGCTTAAATTTTATCAGGGTATTTACGAATTTTGCTTACCGGAACTGAATATGTGAGAGAGAAAGGGAGGCGAAAATAGAGGGACGACTTGGATTTGGTCGATTTCTAAATGCGTGTCCTTGGATTATCAAAGGACTTTTTTTTTCGTTTTTTGCTTATATGGTTGAAAGTATAATGACAATTATAAAGATTTAAACTTTATAATACATGGATTGTATCCAGCATACGGAGTAAAAGATTTAAACTTCTATTTATAGCTATACTCTCCTCTTAAAATTTATATTCTAGCAAAATTGAAAATAGTGTTAAGCATTTGCACCCCTAAAACCGTGTCTAAGGCCCTAAATGGACCCAAAATATAGATGGGCTGAAATTAGGGTTCTACTATTTTGAGAGGAACAAAAGATAGCTTACTTGTAAGACGGTTGTTCGAAATAGTCCAAGTTAGCAACAATTTCCGATCAAGGCCCATTAAGAACTGGATTCCCATTTTTTTCACTTGCTTTTTGGAATTGCATTCGGCCCACTCCTAAAATTTTATAAGTAACCATGCGGATTAGGGTCGTCATTCAACTGATTTAAACCAAAAATTGAATCAAACTCATTTAATTTGATTTTTCAATTTGGTCATTAGGGTGACTGATTTTAACTTAGTTCATGACTTTAGGTAATTTTAGATTTCAATTTTTTAATTTGTGTAGGAAGTAACCATAAATTTGCCTAAAAATTAAAAAATAAAAACAACACAAATCGAATTGAATTTGGAGATAGACATTGGTAGCAAAAGTTAAGAAATATCAAAAATTGAATTCCTAGCTTCTTGTTTTTGGAGATAAACTATCCATTCACTCAACTTAATACAATAGTTGATTTTATATTAAGCGGTCCAAGAAAAATTAAAATAATCATCTTAGGATTTTTTTTTCTTATTTTTTTCAGAAAAAATTACAAAATAACGCATACCTAATCAAGAAAAAGAGGAAAGTGAACTGGGGAAATGAATAAGAAATTATTAGATGGAATATGATTTTCAAATAATACAATTCTTTAGAAGTATATATATATATATGTGCGCGCACGCGCGCGTGCAGATTATCAGTACCACTAGATGAGTCAGATTGAGTAGTATCATTTACCGAATCTAATTAGTTCAAAGCACAGTAATTAAGTTCGAGTATTAGAACCTAATTAATGGTTACATCAGTATAAGTAAAATTAATTGACAAACACACGTTTTGCAATACCCACGTAGATTTCCTTGTCTCAAATTATTTGAACAACTGTATACTATAAGCCAGTGAGTGATTGGGATTGATTTGCTAATAAATCACTTTATCAATTTGTTTAACTTGCTTTTTACTCGAAACCCTTCAAGCTGAAGCTATTAATTAGTTCTTTTTTCTTGTGGGACTTGAAATAAGTAAACATAAAATATGTTGTAATTATTGAAATTTCCAGAGAAGCTTCGTCTAGTGCTAGTTCAGTTGACACATACAAGATATAAGAGGTGCAATGACAAAAGACATATTAAACGACACAAATGACATTTGATAAAATTGAAAATTTACTATTAATAATCTACCAGTTGAATAATATAGGTACTAAAATATTTAAATTGGCCGAACCAAATACCCACCTCTAGTTTTAAGTGATGTGTAAATGAATACGAGTAAACAATTTAAAAATTAACAAAATCTCTTTTTTTTTTTTTTTTGTTATTATCATAATTAAATTTGAATTTAAGAGTTATTAAGCATTTCCTCGTATAAAAGCAAGAATTTTCTAAACTTATTGAGATGAAGTACGGAAAGATCATAGTGTGAAAATAGGAATAATTAAGAAAAAGATAGAACTTTTAATTACTTGGCCTTAATTTGGGTTAAGCTCCTTCAACAAGGGACAAAGTGAGTGACAAAGACATAGCAACAAGTGAACATAATCTGAAATATATACAATGGAAATAGAATCATATAGATATGAAAGAACAGTAGCATTCAAGTCACCTTAGTCTAGAGAAAAAGAAAAAAAAGAAAAAGAACAAGAACAGTATCAAACCACCGTGATTTTTACTCTCTATAATTCCTTCCAAACTTTCACCTACCATAATAACTGAAGAACACCCACATCTTCAAAATGGGGTGGCTTCACTCCTTCCTCGTCTCTCCCTTAAAGAAGTTCTGGGATCGTCTACATGTTGGCCGTAGAAAGCGTAATGTTTTGCTTATTTAATTATTTCATTTCTTCTTAAGTATCGTCTTTGCTGTGTATTATGTTATTGAAGTTAATTTTACAGGGAGAGGGATATACATTTTGTACAAGGATGTCGAAACTTGCTCGTGTGAAGATGTGCAAATTCTGTGGTCAATGGTGGTTGAGTCTCATAACCATTGACGCAGCTGCTTCTTTGCGAGCCAAATGATCATATATAGATTGGTGTGTGGTGCGGAAGTTTTTTCTGTTGTATATACACTGCCTGATATGTGAAGCAGGTGATGACTGCGTTATATATACTGGTGTATAGAAAATCAAATCAACTTTTCTTTTTTGTATAAATTGAATAAATGTGAGTATATCATTGTAACATTACGTTTTTTAAAACTAATATATTATACTTTTCATTACAATTTCTTTTTTCTCAGGTGGGATATATACTCTGTTCTAACTTCTTAACCATCTATATTCTGAAGTTGCTTATTTGTATTGTTCTTGAAAGAACGGCAAGAACAAGTTTGTTTTTTCTTTTCTTGTTCTTGAAAAAACGACAAGAACCACCTGTGTTTTTTTTTCTTTCCTTTTTTATCTTTCAAGATCAACATTTGCATCACTGTCAGCTACTCAACTGTAATTGTAACTACCAAGATTCTAGAATCTAGAATATGGGCCCATAGTAATTTTTTTTCATCCATAGGTTTGTTGAGTTGGTGCATCTGTTATATTTATTTGCAGACTAATTTTATTAATTTGCATAATTTGTGCAATGATATTTAAAGATGGAAAAAAAATTTTCCGATCGGCTGTTAATAATATAAAAAATAAAATCAATTTTTTTTAGCTGGTTTCTAAGTGCTGATTAATTGGCTTTTGACACCCACTTTGAAACATTTAGCCAACTGATTTGATTATTTTGTGATTTGATAGATTTAAACATCGTGATATGAAAAGTATTTCAGAAAACAATATCGATTTTCAATTAATAAATACATAAATGCATGGCCTTCCACAATTTCCTGCCACCTTTGGTTTTCTCTTCGTCTCTGAGTCTAGTAACGGAACTCACGCACCATGCTTTAAGAAATAGTTAAAATTGAATATATGATATGCTGATCGCACTATAGGCATCAAATCTGCTGAAAGGATATTTTTGTAAGCTCAAATTTTTTTAATGTAATAGGTTTATAGCATAGGAACTAAAATAATACTCTTTCCGGACCCATAATATTTATCCATGTTTCTATTTTTTGATGTCCCAAAATATTTGTCTACTTGACTAAAGAGATACTTACTTTTCTTTTATACCCTTCATTATAAATGTTTTTAAATTTTAAGGATATTCTTTTTTTTAAATGAGGATAATTTTGAAAAAATATGGATAACTTTGAATAAAAGCTAGGAAGTAGGGACAATAACGTAGTTAAATTACCAGAAGAAACGTAACGGCATTTACCTGAACACGTTACATGTATGTGGATTGTTTCTGGGCCAAGCAAAATGCTAATTCAGCCCAAATATGAAATAAACCCACATACGCCTCTCGCTTTCGTCATGGGCATCAACAAGCCCATACAACAGAGAGCAGGAAGCTCAAGGAAGGAGGCGCACAGGGTAGATGCGTAATTATGCCTATTTGACTATTTGCCACAACAGGTTGCAGTTTTTTTAATTAGCATGGAATATTTGATCATTCTCTCTCTCTCTCTTTTTTTCTTTTTTTTTTTTTTTTAAATAAAAACCTTTTATACCCTTGCATTATAAATGTTTTTAAATTTTAGGATATTTTTTTTTTTAAAATGGGATAATTTTGAAAAAATATGGATAACTTTGTAATAAAAAGCTAGGAAGTTAGGGACCCGATAACGTAGTTAAATTTACCAGAAGAAAACGTAAACGGCATTTCTACCTGAACACGTTTACATGTATGTGGATTGTTTCTTGGGCCAAGCAAAATGCTAATTCAGGATGCCCAATATGAAATAAACCCACATACGGCCTCTCGCGGCTTTCGTCATGGGCATCATCAACAAGCCCATACAACAGAGAGTCAGGAAGCTCAATGGAAGGGAGGGCGCACAGGGTAGATGCGTTAATTATGCTAATTTGAACTATTTGCCAACAACAGGTTGCAGTTTTTTTAAATTAGTCATGGAATATTTTGATCATTCTCTCTCTCTCTTTTTTTCTTTTTTTTTTTTTTTTTTTAAAATAAAAACGAAACGAAAAGGCAAAGCATTTTTCTTGTAAGCCTCTAATTATTGGCAAGGACGTGTCGGTTATTAGTTTTTCAACCAAAATTCATTTTTTCCTTATGGCTTTTTTTCTTTTTTTTTTTTTTTTAAATAAAAACGAAACGAAAAGGCAAAGCATTTTCTTGTAAAGCCTCTAATTATTGGCAAGGGACGTGTCGGTTATTAGTTTTTCACCAAAATTCATTTTTTCCTTATGGATATTAATGAATGAAAATTTATTGTATAGACTCATTTACTTTTTTTTTTGGTTTTATATCCAAATTATGGCTTTATTTTCATTTTAAAGGAAGGAAATTTTTAAAGTTTATTATTCTATCCATATTTAATATGCATCTTCATCAATACTGTGTATAATGTTGTTACTATTAATTACATATTAAATTGAAAAAGTGATTATTGTTGCCACCTATATGAGCTAATTTCATGACTTTGATTGTTTTAATTTTTAAATAAAAAAATACAATATATTGATTAGTTTCGGTAATAATTTGATATGAATTAGTGAATTTAAAAAAGTAATATGGAACATTCAATATTAATACGAGGTTATATTAGAAAAAGGAAATAATAGAAATGAAAAATAATGTTAAAGTATAATGGAAATCCAAAAAGAACCGATTATGAGTTGGTTGTATTTGATATTTTAAAAATCAATTATGATTTGGGTTTGACAAAAAAAAAACATTTAATTTTTAGTTGGATGTTTTGTTTCGCATACCACCTAAAGTCAATTTTATTTTATTCTCAATGTAGTTAAAAGCAAATTGAAATAATCAAACTAAAATTAAATTGATTTGATTATAATTTTAATTTTCATCTTCCAAGTATTTAGTTACTTAAAATCAAATTAATTTGGTTCATTTAAATTGGAGGCTCACCTTAAAAACTAAACTATTATTATGGTTTAACCATATTAATAATATTTTCTTGATATATATAAAAAAGTCAAAAGTAAATATATTTTTATGGAAATAAATGAATATTATTTTTTAGATTAGTATATTACTGGAAGGTTATTTATATTTATAAAATTCACATTGTTTTCTGAAATGTTTAAAAATTAAAGAGTAATTACGTGTATGAAGGTAGCCCAAGAGTTTGATCCTCAACTTCCATCAACTAATAACCTAACGATATGATGGGTTATGAGCACAATTTGATTATTGGTTATTTAAAATTATTATATTTTTAAAATGGATAGGCAAAAAAGTTTTGTTGATTAATTCTGGAGGGAAATTGAAAATCCTAGTCAAAAGAAAATGACAATCCCGCCCATGGCAGTGCCCCTGCCCCTGCCCCTTCTACTCTAACCAGCACAAACAAGCTTCCGATAAAAACGTAATAATATTGTAAAGCCCCCCAAAAATCCCCCAATACCTGTCTCTGTCTTCTTTCGCTCTCGCTTCTTCACCCTGTAAACCCTTCCATTTCTCCTTTTCTTTATACGAGCCTAACTCTGGTTCAGCCTCCGAGTCGCCATGATCGTACCGGCGAAGCCTAGGATGTACATGTACGACGTCGTAGGATCATAGAATTTTCTTCTCTCTGCTACATTGGTAAAGTTCTCTATTTATCCTTTTTCCTTCGTTACTTTCGGTTTTGTTTCTTACTTCTAAATTTTTCGGCTGTTTTTGGGTGCAAGGTTTTGATTCAAAACGCCTATTCAGATCCAGCTCGAATACTTGTATCACTGTAATCATTTAGTAAGATCAACGGAGGTTATTTATTTTTTTTTTTTGGCTTTAATTTGTGGTGAAGTTGCATTGAAATCAAAATGCTACACTTTTGAAATTAGGGATTTTGTTAGAGATGAGAGAGGGCTTGCGATCTGGGTTCAAATTGTTGGCGAAAACTGAGAAAGGGGAGGTTTGGCCTAGCCAAGAAACAGTTACAATGGAAGTAGGCAGTAATGAAGAAGAAGTCTGCGGTTTGACTGATGAGAACGTCGCAGAATTGGTTGCTTCTGGGACTGAAGAAGAGAAGTTAGTTTCTGCACCAAAAGAAGGAACAGAGACAGATGAGGTAGGAGGGTTAAAATATGAGGACTTTGGTGCGGATGATGATATCGGTGAGGATGAGCTTGTGGAGTTAACTCATAATAGGAAGGAAAGCAGCAGATTAGAGGGGTTGGTAGAAAATGGAGTTGGTAGTGTTAGTGTCAAAAAACAGAAGGTGAAGGGTGAGGTTGCAGGCGGTAAGCTGCAGGTTGTTGGTAGGGTTCTGCGGTCAGGGTCTACTGTGAAACCTGAGGGTGAGGACAAAGTTGTAACGGGACAAAGTAATGGTGTTTTTATTGGGGAAAAGACTGGTGGCAAAGATGGGTCCGAGGAGAAGAGAGTTACGATGAAAGAGGAAGAAGGTGATCATTTAAATGGTGAAGACACTTTTCAATCTGGTAATATTGTTAGTGGAGAGCTAGTGCGCAAGCGTGGGAGGCCTCCTAAGACTCTGCAGAGGGAATTTCAGAAACAGTGTGATGATGTGGAGAAGGGAGAGATTGATCAGTCTGCAGCACGAAAAACAAAACGAAAGCGTGGGAGACCTCCTAAGGCTCGGGAAAATGATGAGTCACAGAAAAAACAGGGCGATCACATTGAGGAGTCAGAGGATAAACAAGGTGATGACAGACATAATAAACAAAATGAAGAGATTAAAAAATTAAATCGTAAGCGTGGGAGGCCTCCTAAGGCTCAGAAGAATGATGAGTCTCAGAAAAAATTGGGTGAAATGGTGAAAGAAGAGATTAAATTATCTGTTTGTCAAGAGAACCATCAGCCAAATGATGAAGAGTTTAAAAAATTGAAGCCTAGGCGTGGGAGGCCCCCAAAGGCTCAGAAGAGTAGTCTGTTTGAGAAGAAAAAGGCTAAAAGGGAAGAAGAAGAGGGTGCTGAATGTGCTGTTGAAGATAGTGATCAGCCAAATACTCAAGCTAAGGAAACATTAAGGCATAAACTTGGGAGACCACCAAAGGCTCAGAAATGTGATGGATCTTTGAAGAAAATGGTTCAAGTGGCAAATGAAGTGATTGATCAATCTGCTGATAATGACTCTGAGGAATCTTATGGAAAAGTGAGGAAGAAACTGGAGCCTAATTATGGGAACAAGTTGAATAACAGTGGAAAGGTGGGCTTGTTAAGGAAATACAGAAAGGGAGCAACTTCAAAACATAAAGTCCAGGTTATGAATCAAAATGCAGGGAATAGGAGTTCATTATCAGGAAAGAGATTTCTTGGAAAAGAATGTAATGTGAACATACTGCCAGCTAAGAAGATGAAATGCAACAATTATGAGGACGGAGGGAAACCAAAAATGAATGCAGGGGAAATGGGACATGGTAGATCAGCAAGGCAGGCAGTGAGAGATAAAATTGTGGAATTGCTTTTGGATGCTGGCTGGGAAATTCAACATAGGCCTAGGCATGGTAGAGAATACATGGATGCAGTGTATGTTAATCCTGAAGGAAGAACTCACTGGTCAGTCACCTTGGCCTATCGGGTGCTTAAGAAGCATTATGAAGACAGTAGTGACAATTTAAAACCTGGCTTCAAATTTACCCCAATTCCAGATGAGGAACTTAAAGTGCTAACCAAAGTAATGCATAAAGTACGGTCGGATAAAAATAAAAAGAAAAAGAAATGGAACCAAGAGGAGAAGGATGAGAAAATGATTGAAGTTACTAAAAAGAAAAAGTGGAAAAAAATGCACAAAAGAAAACTGGGCGTTGCAGCTGGCGTTGGCTATAAGATGATGAAGGGGAGAAAACCTAAACCTTTACTTCGCAAACAGGATGAGTCAGCCGTTACATCAGGCCAGGGAAATGCAGTGTCAGTCAGGAGTCGTAAACGACTTGAAATGCATGGCAGAACGCGATGTGCTTTGATGGTTCGCAACTCTCAGGAGGGCACGGAGTCTGACAGTGATGGCTATGTGCTGTATAGTGGAAAGCGAACTGTGCTTGGTTGGATGCTTGGTCTGGGCATTGTGCCATTAGATGAGAAAGTGCAGTACTTGAAACGCAGGAAAACACGAGGTGCACTGAAGGGTAGGATAACAACAGATGGCATTCAGTGTGATTGCTGCAATAAAACTTTTACAATTGCAGAATTTGAGATTCATGCAGGTGGAAAATCCAGTCAGCCATTCAAAAATATATGTTTAGACACTGGATCTTCGCTCTTGCAGTGCCAGCTAGATTCATGGCATAAACAAGATGAGTCTGCTCTTAAAGGGTTCCATTTCATCGATATTGCTGGTGAAGATCCTAATGATGATACATGTGGGATTTGTGGAGATGGAGGGGACCTGATTTGTTGTGACAGTTGCCCATCAACGTTCCACCAAAGCTGCCTTGAGATAAAGGTAGCAATTTCACTGTTTTTCTATTATTGTTTTTCTTTTTCTCATAGAAGGTATGAGAGAGAAAGGGAGTTAGAGAGAAGCTTTTATTGACCATTTTATGTGGGCGCTCTAAGTCATAAGCCTCTAAGGGCTTTTTCTCATATCTTGAGCTCTTGATGTGTTGAATGGTCTCGATTTGAAAAGTGACCTTTGCAGTCCAGTGACAGAGAGTGAGGGTAGGGTGGTATTACTACCTCTGGCCAGTTTTTAGGTGGGTTTTCTGTAGGTCACTGAGCACATTCCAGCCTGGCCAGTGTTTTGGAGTTTGATCATGGATTGTAGTTACCAAACAAGGGTCTTCACAACTTGGGGTCATGTTTAGTACATGGAATAGGAATGGAAATGGGATTTCTATTCCCAATTACCTTGTTCAGTAGCAGTTAAGGCTTAATGAATTATGGAATAAGTTAAGGAATTCAGATTCTTAGTCACCCCTCAGAATCCTAATTCCATCTGAATATATTTTGAAATACTGTGTATGCCCTTTTATCTTTTATCATTTGAGTATTCCCTTTTTCACTTTATTTAATGTATGTTAGTCTTTTACTAATTTTTCATTCCATCCCCTTCTTTTCCTTACTATATACTAAACACATGAATAAGAATTCTGTTACATTACATTCCCTTTTTCGTTGTCTTTTCCGTTCTTTGTTTTGTACTAAACATGAAGAGCTTTAGAAACTAAAAATTGACTGCCACTTAGTGACGGCAAAAAGAGTAGCTTCTCTCCTTGTAATCTCCAAATAACAGAAATCTCAATGTCTCTATATGATCAGGCCAGGCCAGGCTGATTGGGCAACCCACTTTGGGTAAGATTTGCTTGGGTCCTCTTGTCATCCACATGCTACATTTGCTGCAGTAAAGTTTCCTTTTCAACAGGAGCTTTAACTGATTTGCTTAAGTTTGAGATTATCTTGCCTGCTGACTGTTGGTACTTGCGGAAATAGGTTTGGACATTAATATCCTTAGAACATCATTAATCTTTTATTTTTCTTTTTGTGACAGATGTTTCCTTCAGGGAGCTGGCACTGCGTATTTTGTTTGTGTAAATTTTGTGGGGAGACTGGTGGGAATACTTGTCAGATAGATGATAATAATGCTACCCTCTTATGTGCATTACTTACATGCCATTTGTGCGAGGAAAAATGTATTTTCTCTTTCTTCTTAGAGTTTTTCTTTTTCTGTTTCTTTCTTTTTTTACTACACCAGAATTTGTTATGAAAAATGTTGTTAACTGATCTGTATTAATAGATTTCTTTTGCTGTAGATCACAAATCTTGTGTTCAGGTGAAGGAAGGCGTGAGTGATGATCCTGTTAGTTCATCGTTCTGTGGAAAGAAGTGCCAAGAGGTATTGTCACCTATTATTGACATATTGCAGCCTGGAACTAAGGATGTGGGTTTGGTATCTGGAATGATAGTTTAATTATTACCAGTTATGAAAACATGTTATTTGTGGGCATTATTATAAAAAACATTAATATACACACAAGTTTTTCTAGTTTTTGTTATTGGGAAATGATTAAGTTAATTATTTAATATTATTCATAATTCTTTAAAAGTAATTAACGTTCTGTTATTTTATATGATAAATTTGTTAGGGAGTCAATTATTAACTGTTAAGTATATTAAATGAGTGTATTCCGAATGTGCTCAGTGGCACAGTTTTAAACTTTTATTACCTGAAGCATTTATAAGGGTATGCTTGAGCTTCTATATACAGTAATTTTTTGTGTTCTATCTAATTTTCATAGTTGACAAAATTCAGTATGGTCATGCATATCTGGATATTGTTCCTCAAGTCCTCGCTGATATTCAGAGTGTTATTTGGTAATTATTTTTATGAAAAAATGTGAATATTCTTTATAAGAAAGTTTTGAACTCTGCTCGTGTCTTATATGCAAGGGTATTTATCTAGATTTTTTTGTCAGTTATATGAGAGGCTGCAGATGCTTTTTGGGGTTAAACATGAACTGGAAGAAGGTTTTTCATGGACTTTTGTTCGCCGATTTGATGTTGGCTCAGATATTTCTCTCAGTGGAATGCCTCGGAAAGTGGAATGCAATTCAAAGGTGGCTGTCGCATTGCATATAATGGATGAGTGCTTTTTGCCCATGGTTGACCACAGAAGTGGGGTCAATCTAATACGTAATATTGTCTATAATTTTGGGTAAGCATATGCCTGAACTGTGCACTTTTGGGAATTCACAACCGGTTTATAGTAGTTAACATATTAAGCTGCACATTGTAAATGTCTTCAATTTTGTTGTGTATATGTTTCTATGTACTTTTTATTTTTGTTGGGGTGTGATATGGATCTGTATGAGATAGAAGAGTTTTTTGTCAGTCAGTTTTTAACCTTTTGGACAGTTCCATTTTAACTTTCTTTGCAATGAATGTCAGTTTAGTACAAGTATATAGAGTAAGAAAATGAAGAATAACTAATTGTCATCTTGAAAGTATATTTAAGAACAAATTGGGGAAGAATGATGCATAAATTTTATCATGGACTTGGTTCAGATGTTATACAGTAAAATAGAGAAGAAAGAATTGCCATTACATGCAATCTTTCTATAAACTAGGGTTTTTTGGCTGTTAAGATATCGCTACATGCTATTTGCAGTTAATCTACTGGAAAAGGACCTTCATATACTTGTTATACCTGCCCACAATAGCATCTTATTCTGCTGTATTCTTTCTGTGTAAGAGGTTATGGATTTTCTAATTTTCTATTGGTGGTAATAATTAATTTACAGCAAGTCTAACAGTAAGTTACTGGAGCATTGTGTTTAAAATATGATTATGTTCTCATCTTTCCAGATGTATGGTAATGGATCATTTATCTTGGTTTTTACTATTGTGAGTGGCATTTGGATTTTTGTGCAACCATTTTATTTATCAATAAATTTTTAATTTGGTTCAGGTCCAACTTTAACCGATTGAACTATAGTGGTTTCTTCACTGCCATTCTGGAGAGGGGAGATGAAATGATTGCTGCTGCATCAATTAGGTATTATTTGCTTGATGCCTGTGCCATTTTATGGCAGTTTATGATGCTAATTCCTGTTTGCATGGATGGAAACATTGTAAAAGATGACATTTGGAAAGAATGATTGTGGTCATAGAAGCATTCCTAGGTAGAACAATCTTCTGGATCTTAACAGTCAAAAGTATTTTACTTCTCTTTATTCCTGTCTGAAAACTTTGAATAGATGCTTGGATGTGTTGTAATATGAGGTATCAAACATCCCAAATGGACCCACATGAGGAGATCCCATTTGTGCTACAGTGGGTTTTTTTGTAATGTACATGAATGATTTGTTTTGAATTGGTTTCGTAAGTGATATTGCTGATCTCTATGAAAGTCAGTCATTAAGATAGGACCATTCAATTTAGTTCCTGAATAATAGAAATACATGGCGTAACAAAATGTTTGATGACTTTGTTGAAATTAAGTGTACAAGAATTTGTGCTTGCACTTTCCATTGCTATTTCTACTTCTACTGTACCTCTCATTGTTATCAACACCCGACTCCTCCTCCCTTTCCTCGCTCTTCTCTTTAGGTCATTGCTTGGTATGTATTTCATGTGTTCAATGGGTGGGTATGGTCCACATTTATCTAAGCATACTGCTTTACGGTTCCTTTCTAGTGTGGTGTGGCAACCTTCCATCTTTATGACAAATTTGATCCTACTTGCATCTTATAGTATTTCATTGCAGTTCTTGATTAATTTTGTGGCTGTGTGTTTGTGTGCGTCAAAGCTGTTTTCTTTTTTTCTATTCTTGTTTTCTATCTCGAGTCAGAATATATTGATTTGTATCTAGCATGTTATGAAAATTAAAATAATCACACTATACGGTAATTAATACCTGGTCAAATAGGATCCATGGGAATCATTTAGCAGAGATGCCATTCATTGGGACCCGATATGCGTATAGGCGTCAAGGAATGTGTCGGCGGCTTCTGTCTGCAATTGAAACAGTAAGTATGATACTAAATGCCTCTCCCCCCCTCCTTACCCACATCTTTTTTCCCTATCTGCATTCTCCTATGTCTGAAATTCAGATGTAGATATTGAACTATAATGTTGGTTCTCTGGAATTTATCTTTTCGACTCTTCTCAGAACTGTTTTCTTCTTTTCCAATTTGTTGAGATCATACTAAGGAATGACGGAATTTTGATCTCATTTATGCACAAGAAAACTAGCTAACTTGCTAAACAAAGGGGCATAGTGTAATTTGTTTGAATTACTCCTGAGCAGTTTACAAATTTCTCCACAGTGGACTTGATTTTACTGTAAATAATTAGACCATGAATTCTGAACCGTTTGTCCATTGGAGAGACCATTTATAATGCTTTAGTGAAGCAAGAACATGGTGAAGTGCGTTAAATGGAAGGACATAGTGCATGATTTAGATTTACAAAGAAAAATGACTAGATTGCACTGAGTTATACATTATTCATTGCAAGTGAAATTTCTCCCTCTTTATTTTTTATTTGTTTCTGAATCTGTTATCAGGCTTTGTGCTCTTTGAATGTTGAGAAATTGGTGATACCTGCTATCTCTGAGCTGAGGAAAACATGGACTTCTGTGTTTGGTTTCAAGCCTCTTGAAGGATCAAGCAAGCAGAAGCTGAGTAACATGAATATGATGGTGTTCCCTGGTGTTGATATGTTACAGAAACCATTGTTGAAGCATCAGTTTGCTGGAAAAAAAATGAATCTTATAGAAGGTATTTGATACTGAGCACTCACTTGATTGCAACTTTATCTTAATGTCAACTGTTTTATGCCATGTATGTTCTGTAGGATCAGAGTCCACTGAGCTTGGAGAACTTCATACCAAGGAAGATTTGGAAAATAAGTTTGATGAAAGATGTTCAGCGGGATCTGACTTAAAAGGTTCTCTCGGGGCTGGTTTACCTTGTTCGGGCAACATAATTAAGGAACTTGCTGCAGTTGACGCTGGTTCACTTGTTCCTGGTGAGAGAAATGAAAGTATTTCAAGCCCCTTTGATTTGTCGTGCAATGCTTGTGAAAAAACTGGAGATGAATCGATGAAGAATATTAATGAGAAATGTTCTGCTGGATTTGAATTCAAAGCTTCTAGTGATACTGGTGTAGCTCATGCCAGTACCATAATTTGTGAACCTGCTGAAGTTGAATCTGGTTCACTACCTCCTGATGGCTGCTTGAATGATAGATCTGACATGACAATTCAGGATATGAATAGTACAAAATGCCACGTCCATTCTGGTGGGACTTTTGATAGTATTGATGGGAGAAATGAAAATACAGTGAATACTCTTGATTCTCTATGTGATTCTCATGAACAAACAGAAAATGAGATGATAAAAAATTATGAAGAGGGAGATTCAGCTGGAGTTGATTTTAAAGATTACTGTACAACTAAAGTATCCAATACTGGTAAGATAAGTCAAGAATCTTCTGCAGCTGAATTAGATTCGATCTCTGATGGGTACTTGAATGACACATCTGACACAACTCCTCATGATGCGAATGATATACAATCTCATTATCAGTGTGATGGAATTTCTAATGGTGTGGATGGGAAAACCGAAAATATTGTGAATCCTCTTGATTCTTCATGTGGTGCTTTTGGACAAGCTGCAAGGAGGAATGGACAGCAGAAAGCTCTTTCTGCTGCCACTGGTTTACCCACTGATAATGCAGTGCCACAATTGCATGTGCAGTTGAACCAGCATAATGTATCAGCAGTGGATATTAAGTTGTGTGCTATATCTCACACTGTATCTGGAGCTGCTATTTGCGGTGGAGAATTGACATGTGGTTCAAATGACAGTACTGAAGCAATTTCTTTTGAAGTGAAAACAAAAGATAACAATGTTAAACACAATGCCAATACTCTTGGGAAGGATCATATGCATATCACTGCTGAAATCATTGGTACCCAATCCCAGGACTTGATTTTTGAGAGAGTAAAAGGTTCAGATAAGGATGCTGTTTTCCTTGAGTCTAATAAGTCTAATAATGGTAATATTTCCTCTGATGTAGTTCAGTCAACATCTCCTGCAGCTTGCCAGAGAGAAGGTGATTTTGCTGCATTGCCTTCTGAACAAAACTTCAGACCTTGTAAAAGCAATGGGCCTACTTGTGATGATCTTTGTCATGCAGTGGCCTCTGATATCACCACGGGATCTAATTTGCAAGCGAGTACGAGTAATGTTCCTTGCATGACCATAAATGTTGCACCAGGCTCTTGCGTAGGTGGTGTCTGTGACCCCAAAATAGTGTCCGCTGCAGCTCAAAGTAATAGCATTTCGCTTGATGAAGGTTTAATTTCTGATGGGGCTCATGTAAATGCTGAATTATCAAAGCTACCACTTCCTCATTCTGATGTTGATCATGCTAGTATGATGCCAAACAATTCTGAATCCTTGTGTAGTGCATGCTCTACACCTGGTGTTGTCCTTTACTGTGCATCTGGTGCTGGTAACTCGAGTAATGCCCCTGAGGTGATGATTTTATCGAACCAGGCTAATTGATTTCCATTGAAATGTTTTTTGCTGTAGATATCGGGTGTTTTGACAGCAGCTATCAATAGATTATGTGGACTACATAAAGCATAGGTTGACTGTTTTGTCATGGGTTAGGATGCAGGTGACGATGGTGATCACTGCGTCCGCAGGTGTTCATTGACAAAGTTGTCATTTTGGTAATTGCTTGGTTGGGGTTTAGGGGATTTTTACTTCTTTTTTCTTTTTCTACTTTTAGTATCCCTTTTTTGCATGTATAGTTTTTAGAGATTAGCTTTAGTCAGTAGTTGTCTAGTTTAGCATGATATCAGATCCTGAGGCAATCAAGAGATCTGAATTTTGGACTTCCCTAATGACGCTTATTGTAAATGAAACAAACAATTCATTGCTGAATTATGAAAATAGCCATTTCTCCAAGTTCTGTATGTTAAGTTACATGTTTCTAATAGTTAAAGGCTGAATACAATATTTTTGTTATGACATTTTAAATTTTAAAATTGACATTGTGACATTTTAATTTCACTATTTATAATAATTTCAGTATTCATCGCTCTAGTAACAATAAGTTTTAAGGTTTTAGCTTTTATACTTGAGATGTTAATTTAAATATATGGTTAGTATTATTTTTGAAATTATAATTTTTACATTTTTTTTCAATTATTCAATAAGTATATGGACTAAAATAAAAATTAAGAGTATCATAAAATTTTTAAATGAAAAGTATATGGTAATTTATATATTAAATTAATAAAATAAAAGAGTGAATTTATATATTAAATCAATAACTAAAGGTGGATATTGTCACTTTTATTTTCGAGAGTTAATATCAAGTGTCATTTAAGTCCAATTTCTGTTTTTCGGTTAACTCGGTGAAGAAACAAAATTATCATATCAGCTCCTTGGTGAATCGAAGGCCTTTGCTTTCATTAAATCAATTAAAACTTAATTATATATGTTTTAAAACATATAGATGAATTTTGATTTGATAAAAAAAATTATTTTTAAAATGCAAAATTTCTCTTTATAATACTTGATAAATTTAGTAATTTTTTTGAGAACATGCCCTAAACAAATTTGGACATAAATAAAATTTTTTCCCAAGGAAAAAATCTAAAAGAATAAAAAGAATAGTTTATAATGGTAGTGGAAAAAAAAAAAAAAAATTGGTCGTGGCAATATCATTTTGTGACAAGCTATATAAAGAGCTCATACACTTCTGCGCTCCGCATCTAGGGTTTTAGCACTTCCTTTCACTCGCTCTGAACTTTGCCGCCGCATAGAGAAGAGAACTTCTCTCCGCATCTGAAACCCTAGCCATGGTGAGTTACTAAACCCCTCTCTCTCTCTCTCTCTCTCTCTCTCTCTCTGTAGATTTGGCATTTCATTTTAACGATTGTGAAATTTTTACAGTCGCTGGTTGCCAATGAAGAGTTTCAACATATTCTTCGTGTCTTGAACACGAACGTCGATGGGAAACAGAAGATTATGTTTGCACTGACCTCCATCAAAGGTATCGGTCGCCGTTTTGCCAACATCGTCTGCAAGAAAGCCGATGTCGACATGAACAAGAGGTCCTTCTCTCTCTTTTTTAATCGTTGGCATTTCCTCTCATCTATATATTTTTATCAAATATACTGTAGTGTTCTATATTCATTCTTCTATTTTTAATGCTAAGTAGCAAGAAAATATAGTTGTAGAAAAATTAATTCGATTTCCGTTTGTTTTGATTTATTGTTTAGGATATATTTCGTGTTAATCTGCTGAGCATAATTTCACGATAGAAGAAACTAGTTTGAGAATAAGACTATCTACAATAACAGTATGATTAATGTAGTCGAGGTGCTATGATTTAGGGATCAACTATCCAATAGTCTCGATTTTATTTGTCCTTTGAACATTACACAGCGTTTAATTTTTGGGTAAAATGGGCTGCTTGCAATCACCTGCTTTAGAGACCTTTATCATTGTAATAAGTTGTGTTTTTGGTGATCTGCGTCTTTGCTCTGGATTTGTTTTTTTATATATATGTCTCTCCATGAATTGAAGAGGGGATTTTATTTTTTTTTAATGAGCTTTCTTTTCCTTTGTTTTTCTAGCAAGTGTATTGTATTTTCACATATTTAAATTAGATTTAGTGCTTGAGTTCTGTTTTCTCTAATCTGTTATGTTTTGATATTTGATTTGATTGTAGAGCTGGTGAACTATCAGCTGAAGAGCTAGATAAACTTATGGTGATTGTTGCTAATCCTCGCCAATTCAAGATTCCAGACTGGTTCCTTAACAGGCAGAAGGATTACAAGGATGGGAAGTACTCTCAGGTTGTATCCAATGCATTGGACATGAAACTCAGAGATGATCTTGAGAGGTTGAAGAAGATCAGGTTTGCTTCATTGATTCCTTTCCTATTGTAATAAATATCATTCTTTCTGTATGCTTGATTAGCATTTTTAACAGTGGTTGATCTTCTTTGGCAGAAACCACCGTGGTCTTCGTCACTACTGGGGTCTTCGAGTACGCGGACAGCACACCAAGACGACTGGACGCAGGGGGAAGACTGTTGGTGTCTCCAAAAAGCGATGATCTGGTTCTACTTTTTTTGTGTTCTCATATTCTGGATCTTTTGAGTGTTCGCCGTCTTTTCTTTTCTTTAAAAGAACTTAGCATGTTTAGAATTTTCTTTTTGTAATGCGGATATTACTTGTTTTGTTTACTCATTTGGATTCAAGATTCTCTTAGAAAAGTATTATTGTGGCCTCTTGAATGATAATTTGATGAAAAGAAATGCATATGGGGAGTGCTGGTTTGTATCCTTGATCCTGAATGCAGCTGCTCTCTATATGATAGAGAACCAATTTCATTTTGCAGTTTGCAGTTGTGCAAAGGCATAGTTTTTGAGTGATGAGACATTTTAATATATATCATTCCATTCGGTGTATTTTGACTTAAAAATCTGAGAATGAAATCCTACAAAAATATTTAGGATTTGTAACGGCCCTATTTAATTCCATGTCTGAGTGAATGATTTTTTATTTGAGTTCATCATTTAATCTTGGTAAGTTTTCGCTTTTACTCGTGGGAGTAAATTAAAAAAAAACGTAAAAGTAACTCGCTCATGAGTGAAAACTCACTTGGTTGTTCCTGCGCTATTGTTGAGGCTTAAAGAAATTAAAAGAAGTTTGTGTTCGCTTTGCAATGTTTTTCCTTTCGTATCTGAGATTGATTGTTCTATCATGTTTTTTTTTTTTTTTTTTTTTTTTTTTTACTCAATTTGGATTTCAAGATTCTCTTAGAAAGTATTATTGTGCCTCTTTGAATGATAATTTGATAAAAGAAATGCCATATGGGGAGTGCGGTTTGTTATCCTTGATCCCTGAAAGATGTCAGCTGCTCTCTGTATTGTATTTTTGAAGAGAACTTCCAAATTATCATTTAAGTAGCAGTTTTGCAGATTTTGTGCAAAGGCATAGTTTTTTTGAGTGATGAGACATTTTAATCCCAATATATAATCATTTGCCATCGTGAAGTTATTTTTGAAACAATTCAAAAAGTGGTGAGAAAATGAAAATACCTAACAATTAAACACATATTAGGATTTTTGGTGAAACTGGCCCTATTTCATACATTTACACATGCTCTGAGTGAAATGAAGTTGTTTTATTTGAGTTCAATCATTTAAAGTCTTGGTAAGTTTTCGCTTTACCTCACGATGGGGAGTATTAAATTAAAAAAAAAAAACTGTAAAAAGGTAACTCGCTCAAATTTGTTTGAGTGAAAGACTCACTTGGTTTTTCCTGCGCTCAATTGTGGTGAGGCTTAAAGAAATTAAAAAGTTTTTATGGTAGTTTCGCTTTGCAATATTTTTCCTTTCGTATCTAGATGATTGTTTCTATCATTTTTTTTTTTTTTTTTTTTTTTTTTTTTTTTTTTTGTAAAATTTTAAGTAAATATCAAATATTAAAATTAATTTTCTTACCAAAAAAATAAGAAATCTAGGACATATTTATCCACATGAAACTAGAATTTGGATATACAAAAATAAAATGAATTACATTAAACCATTGAAGTATAAGACTACGTAGGTTTAATACTTTCATTGATCTAAATTATTTCAATTAAATTAATTACAATTATAATAGCACGAATGTTTGGCAACAAAGGGAAGGAAATGGTAGGTTTATAGCCACTAATATTGCTGGTGTTTGTTTCCTGGACTTTTAAATTATAATAATCTTAAATTTTTATTAAGCTCAAAATTTGGGAATCCACATGCAGTAAACGATCCATTTGTCCAATCTTTATATATTGGGTGAGGCCCAGACCAAGATGCAACATGAACGTCAACTTAGTAACCATTAAATAACCAATTAAAAAAAAAAAAAAAAAAATAACGCTTAAATAACCAATTAAAAAAGAAAAAAAAAAAAGTTTCCCAATCATCCATTCTGTTGGTGCTGACTTCCATTCTTGGGCCTAGTCCACATAAAATCACCCATGTCTAACAGCTGGGGAGGTGCCAGGCAAAAAGCTTCTTCTTATTCTGTTTATTCTGAGTGATTTTTCTTGCCTTCCAATCTTACTTTTTTTTTTTTTTTCTACTCGACGTGCATATTATTGGAAGTAATAAACCAACCCCAATTCTAGACAGCCTAACCGCATCAAACGCGGTTCAGGACCTACTTCATTTGTACATCCCATCCAAGGATGTCGATCAACCTTAAACAGGAGGATGATGAACAATTTGGTCCGATCAAATTGCTTATTAATTAGATAATTTGCTAATGGATTACGCTCTTCCATAAATATAAGATATGGTTTGTACTTTGAAACTTACACCTTTGGAGACTATTCACTTGTATCATTCACAAAAAGCATCGTTTCCTAATCGGCTTGACTGTTGTTGACCGTATATAGTGGGCCTCTAAAGGTCGGCTGTAAGACCCCACAAAACTGAATCATAACTTGTTTCGATGAGCAGTTGGGTTGCTAACAAACAAGACCATCGGAGACAAACTCACATGCACATTTTTTTTTTTTTCCCTTCTAAGCAACTGCTATGATAGTAATTATATATAAGGAGGTAAACATAATTGCAACACGTATATATATCGTTGGCATCAAGTTGTGTAACCTAAAAATTATAAGATCTATGCAGAAATTAACAAAATTTATAAGTTATCCTATCGCCTCTTGGCATCTTGTACACTTCCATTGAATCTTTTCTTGCTTAATCCTCCTTTTATGCATTGGTCCCTTCCAAATAAACTAAATATTTTAAATACTTAAACAGACAAATCCAAGAATATCCTACCTGGTGTTTGTCTGTTTGTAAGCAGTAACTTTATTATTATATTGGTTCAATTATGGCCTAATTGTTTAATCTATTAGTTGTCACCTATCAATCAAACAGACTCTCTTTTCCCAAAATCAAAGAAAATGAATAAAACAGTAAGTTTTTTGTTTTTTTCTCACACGAGTGGAGACTACTTTGACTGTTTTTGAGTCAGGATTATTGCTCCTCTACAAGAGGCTAATGACTTCTGCGCTTTCACTTATCATTAATACCACCTAATTGTCTTTCTTCTGCTTAACAATTGATTACTGAGCAATTTCTATGTTTGAATTTTTTTAAATACACAAAAGACTTCACGGAGTTTGAGGATCCTTAATTCTTAATCTTTTACAAAACCAATGGCGCAGATGAATTGTTTACGTTTATGAACAAATAAATTTTTGTTACCGTAGCCTATGTTGAATTTGTCACTCGACTTCATTGAATTATTTTTGACTTCTTAATAAGATAAAACAAAATTTTTTTCCTAATTCAATATAAAATAATTTAATCATCGGGATAAAAATTGTAATATCAGCATATTGTGTCTCTCATTGAAATAAACAAATTAAATGATAAAAATGAAATTAGAAAATAGAAAGTTAATAAAAGAAAACCATACCATACTCACTATTTATAAATGAATTTATTGAAAGGGATAAGGTCGCCACCAATCCTTAAGATGAGAATCTATATTTCAATCCGAGAATATTTTATAGAAAAAAAAAAGAAAAATATAAAATAATCAAGTATGAAAAAATTTAAAAATTCATTTTAATTTCTAAATTTTGTCCTATAGAGTAAAGAATGTATTCTTCCTAGATTCTTGGGTAATCAAATGAATTTTAATCGTTTTTTCTCGTTTTAAAAATTTATTGCCATTTTAAATTCCAATAAGGATAAAATTTATTCAATAAACCCATTTGATTACTGAAAATATATAAAAGAAAAGAAACTAACAATAAATCCAGAAGATGAAAAGCAAAAATACACCTGTACCAATTAAAAAAAAAAAAAAAAAAGTTTCCAATCACCATTCTGTTGGTGCTGGACTTCCATTCTTGGGGCCTAGTCACATAAAATCACCCATGTCTACAGCTGGATTGCAGGCAAACTGCTTTCTTTTCTTTTATTTGTGTTTTCTTTGCCTTCAATTACTTTTTTTTTTTTTTTTCTCGATGCAAAGAAGAAAAACCCCCAATTTAGACAGCCAACGCATCAAACGCGTTCAGACTACTTCATGTACATCCCATCCAAGGATGTCGATAACCTTAACAGGAGGATGATGAACAATTTGTCCGATCAAATTGCTTATTAATTAGATGCAATAAGTCTTCCATAAATATAAGTTGTTTTACTTTGAACTTACACCTTGGAGACTATTCATGTATCATTCAAAAAAGCATCGTCTATCGCTGACTTGTTGACTATATATGGGCTCTAAGGTCCGGCTGTAAGACCCCACAAACTGAATCATCTTGCGATGAGCAGGTGCTAAGCAAGACCATCGGAGACAAACTCACATGCACATTTTTTTTTTTTCCCTTCTAAGCAACTGCTATGATAGTATTATATATATGCTAATCACACGTATATATTGTTTGGCATCAAGTTGTGTAACTATAAAATTAATAAGATCTATGCAGAAATTAACAAATTTAAGGTTATCATCTCTTGGCATCTTTACACATCCATTGAATCTTTTCTGGCTTATCCTCTTTGTCCCCAAATATAAATATTTAAAACAAAAGACAAATCCAAGATTCCTCTGGTGTTGTCTGTGTTAAGCAGTACTTATTATTATATTGGTTCAAATTTGGCCACTTGTTTATCTATTAGTTGTCTTCATCCACAGATTCTTTCCCAATCAAAGAAATGATAAAACAGTAAGTTTTTGTTTTTATTACACATACAGACTTTCTTTGACCTCAGGTTATTGCTCCTCTACAAGACAATGACTTTGCCTTCAACATTATCATTAATTCCTAATTGTCTTCTTCTGCTAACAATTGATTACTGAGCAATTTCTATGTTTTGATTTTTGAAATACACAAAGACTTCACGGAGTTTGAGGATCCTTAATTCTATCTTTTACAAAACAATGGGCGCAGATGAATTGTTTACGTTATGAAAAATAAAATTTTGTTACCGTAGCTATGTTGAATTTGTCACTCGACTTCAATTGAATTATTTTGACTTCTAATAAGATAAAACAAAATTTTTCTAATTCAATATAAAATATTTAATCATCGGATAAAAATTGGTAATAAATCAGCATATTGTGTCTCTCATTGAAATAAAACAAATTAAATGATAAAAATGAAATTAGAAAATAGAAAGTTAATAAAAGAAAACCATACCATATAATTTATATGAATTTATTGAAAGGGATAGGTAGCCACCAATCCTTAAATGAGATCTATATCATCGAGATATTTATAGAAAAAAAAAAGAAAAATATAAATAATCAAGTATGAAAAACTTAAAATTCATTTATTTCTAAATTTTGTCTATAGAGTAAAGAATGTACTTCCTAATTTTAACAAAGATTTTTTTGTTTTTTCGAAAAATTTATTGCCTTAATTTCCATAAGGATAAAATATTCAATAAAAAATTGATACTGAAAAATTAAAAAGAAAAAGAAACTAACATAAATCCAGAAGATGAAAAGCAAAATAATGTAAGAGATAAGGCAATACCATAAAAGACAAAAAGAGAAGGGCCATCTTTTTAAATATTTTGCCAAATCAAATGCAAAAACATTACCCAATCATTGTCCGACACACCCACATTACATGTTACGTGCATTGCCGCGAAATTTCGCAACCACCGGCGTCCGAATCATTCTCCTCTGCCGGTAACTGAGGCGGCGAGGCCAACAGACTGACAAGAAGGTCAGCAAAAGCTCGAACAATAAATTTATGTGTATTCTTAGGATTTAGCGCAAGATAACACAAGAGAAGCTCATGCAAGTAGTCCCAATTGGCTTTCACGTCCTCCAATCGCCGCGCCTCCACCATCTCCTGCATGGATCGCCTAAAGTCCAAGTACGGGTCCGGCGAGTATGTGGGGACCGCTACACTATCTTTAACTGTCGATGAGTTCCAAGACTCTAAAGACGAGGAACAGTTCGATTGGTTCATCGTATTACTACTGTCTGAAAGCGGCGCATCCGCCGCACTACTAACTAGCGAGTCAGATGATTCTGTAGGAGTAGCAATGGATGGTGTAGATTCGATTATGGAGTTGGAGCTGCCTGGGGAAGAGAAGAAAAACCGTTGGGAGGCATATACGGTAGCGAAATCAGGTTCAGAGGAGGAAACGGCGGCAGCGGAAGCAGAGGAGAAGGAGGAGGAAGACGGGGATTTGAAAGCGGAGGAGTCTAAGGTGTCATCATAAAGAGAGTTATAGCTTTTTATGATAAGTGGATCGCTATGATCGTGGGAAGATAGAGGAGTAGAGGGAGATTGGGAGTCTAAAGGCCGTTTGATCTTGGTAAAGCAGAGATGGAGATTTCTCCCTATTGTGCCTGCCATTTCTGTTTCTTTCTAAAGATTGTATATTGTATTGATAATCAGAGAAAAAGAAAAGAAAGTGGAAGATGGAGGAGTATCTATTTCCCTTCGTCTAGAAAGACAAACCCTAAAATCTCCATCCACTTTAAAATATTTTTGGATCAAGAAAAAGGCTGTAAGAGACTGGTGTACGTGTAGTATGGACCATACAAACCAAACTCAGTTCCATTCTCTAGTTAGACGTTTGTTGATCACACACTTTTGATCGAATGGCCATTATTAATCTAAGAGCCCTTGCAAGTTTGGTGTTGTCGTAAAATATTGATAGGAGTAGTTAATTTGATTTGTACGTTGATGGAAAGCGCGTAACGAGTTAAAAAGTCTGGTTTTTGTGTTCTAAGAAAACAGCACATGCATAACTGGTAGGGATCGCAGTATCAACAAAGGCATTTTTGTGGTTTTTTAATTTTTTTTTGCATATTAAACATGTTTTATATATTTTAATATAAATTCCTAGAATTATAAATTTATAAATACTTTTTATGTTATACTATATTTTTCTATCAAAATTGATATTTCGAGTATAAAAATTAGAAAATTCTCATTTTCTTTTAGCGATGAAATTAAATTTTCGATTCAAATTTAGATTATAAGACTTAAATAATCTTTTTTTTTCTCTTAAGTCAACTTTTAGGTATGGAGTTAGGTACAGTTGGATTCCATTCGTTGTATGTTTTATTTTGCATACGGATACATAAACCATATGTATGGTCTGTTGGACACCAATGTTTGTGGTGAGTCCAACATTAGAAGAACGACGTCACGTTTTATGGTTTCACTTTCAGTTATTTAAAGGCCATTTATTTGATGCAACCAAAACCGTTGATTGAAATAGTATGGTGAAACCATTGGATTGGCAATGGAAGTTTCAGAAGTGATGAAATAGACTAGTCAGACAGGAGAGGAGCCAATCAACTTTGACATTCAGGAATCCCTCACTATGGACCATCGCAAAAGTGGCGGGGTGGTTCGGGGAGGGTTTCGCGCCCTCGGTCCCGCCACGTTAATAATCTGTACAAGAACAGAGCAAAACGTGTTACCGATTATACCCAATTTAATTTTTTAAAAAAAATTTTAAATATTTAGGTAAAATTTATACATTCATATCACATAAATATTGTCAGTAATCGGACAGTGACGTGGAGCAGGTAACTTGAAAGTTAAAACTAATTAAAATAAAAAAATAAAAAGAGTTCTAATATATAGTGTTGGTTGGATGGAATGGTTTAGGATTATCCTATAATCAAAACATTAAAAAGTGACTAACAACATTTGGTTTTTCGATTGTTAGACATTTTATCACATCTAACTGTTAACTGAATACATGGCATCAACCAAACAGGCCCTTATAAGTTGTCTTTGAATAAAGACTTTGATAATGATAACTACTTATAGAATCGTTAATCTCTCACTCATGGCCTGGCTGGCTACCTAGTAGCTACAAATATTGTTGCAGCTTCCATGCAAAATTTAGATGGGTTATTTATATTTCGTTAGTTAAATTTTTCTGTACAAGGAAATCTTCGGAACAAAGCCAAGATTGAAAAATTAAGACGAGGGTAGCAATGGTGATCAAGTCAGGTACGCTACAAGGATTGTCCAACCAACCATGAAACAGCCATAGCAAATTGCACATGGTGGGGATGCTTCGTGCCCGACACATCCAACTAAATGTCCTACTTTCGTTTTGCTCAGAATAATATTAATATTTGTAACTGCAATTAAACGTCAAAGTAACAATAACAATAATAATTTGAACAGAATTCCTTTCAAGATTCTGTGCCAAGAAACATGAAGTCTAATTTCCAGGAAATGGGAAAATTTGTACTAATATAGTTGCTATAAGTACAAATTGTTGGGGAAGCAAGAACAATGAAATTAAAACAAAGAGGACTGTCTCTGTTTGCTTTTTTATCTCAAGGAGAAGGACATAGCACTGTGTGAACCACTGCCACAAAACAAAAGTGCTCTGATGAAAAATCAACATCAGTCTTACAAAACAACGATAATAATATTAGGATTTTATCATTGCCCCTTCAGATGGGTATGGCTTCTTCACGAGAATGACTTCAATGGTCCCCCAAGAATAACATTTAAAAGGGGAATTCTGATATTTTTAATCTCAATTTAATTTTTCAAACCCTAGCCTCAAACAAAAATTGATCATAGGAACAAAGTTGTAACCAATTATTATGTTTCTAAGATGTTATAATTATTTTGTACATTTTCTATTCTTGTTATTGAATCGCTTTCAACAACCATTGAAACAATCACTTTCATAACTATTACTTTTGTGTTCATATGATATAATTAAATTACCTTGTATGAGCTTCTGTTATTTTTCACTTTGATCGATTTACTTACAACCCATATTTATTTTCAATTACTATGAAAGTAAGTTTGTAATTGTACATCTAATCATGGGATAGATACCCTAATGAAATTATAAAACGGAAAAGCACACGTGGTTACAGAAGCTGTGATGGTCATGTGAAATTATTTGTTCATTAATGGAGCTAACAAGGAGTACAAATGTGCAGTCCAGTACATCTTTTGATTTATTAATAGCTTACAATTCAGACTTAAACCCACCATTTGATTTATTAGATAAGCAACTAAAAGCCGATTTTTGAAGGAGGGCACAGAAAATATGACTACACAGAACATATTAATTATTAGTTTCTTATTATTATTTTTAATGTAGATTATCGAACATTTACGTAGTGTTATGAGTATGATGATTATGAAAGAAAGAAACAAGGAGGAAGCACAAAAGATCATGACGCCACTGCCAAGTCAGGGCATCTTCAGTATCAGATCTTGGAGATGAGCTGTACCGAAATTTATATTTTCTTTGGTGGATACCGTGTCCTTGAGCCAGCCAAGCTTTAACCTACAATCGACAGTCACTGAAACTTCCTTTCTCATTTCTGTACTGTACTACCAATATCAAGTGTGTGCATGCTATTCTACTGTATTGTCACCAACCAAATTATATTTTCACGGATACCAAATTAAACGTAGATCCATAAACAATCCTATGTGTGTGTGTGTGTGTGTATATATATATATTTGTATAGACCGTTGTGTTTTGACTCGGTACTCCAAATCCATACATATACGAGTCATTGGCACAAAAATAATATATAGCACTGATCTTGTGGGCGTAATTTGTACATAGAAAGAACAGTCGAACAGTAGCTGATAACAAATAGTTTTAACAATTACTTGCTTTTCTCTGCATGTGCTCACAGCAGACCTGCTGTAGCAGGTAAGTTTCGTGGCGTCAAGAGGCCTGTTCTTTCAAAGGTGAGTACATCTGAAATTGGAGTGATATACTTTCGACATTCAGATATGCTGGGTGATTATAATTCATATGTGCAGAATGATAAGTCGTTTTCTTTATAAATTGTACAGTTTGGCATGTTCTATTTCGTACTCGAACACTTGAAAGAATGAAGAGACCGCTGGCTGGACTCCTCCTGTCTTATCTTATAAATGATTGTTTATTTATCTGAAATATTAATATATTATTTATTTAGTGTAGTGTATTCTAAACATGTGTATGTTCTACTTTTAAAAATTACCGTATTTGTACGTTCTCATATATCGTGTCCTGTGTTCATGCAACCTAACTTCTGGTATATGAGACTATTATATACACCAAGCTAACCAAGATTTTTTTTTCTATTACCAACAAAAATGATGTGTTTTTTTAATTTATTTTTGTGTTATTCAAATAAAAAATTAAGTTTATTTTTTATTTTATGTTTATAATTCATTATAAATGATTATTTATTTATTTAAAATATCAATATATTACTTATTTAATATACTATGACCTAAAGGTATGGATGTCCTACCTTTTTAAAAATTATCGTATCTTGCACGTTCTTGTATCTCATGTCCCGTGTCCGGACAACTTAGCTCCTGTTATATAAGACTACTCAATACATCAAGTTGATTAACCAAGATTTTTTTTATTACAACAAAAAATGAAATGTTTTTTTAATTTGTTTTTGCGTCATTGAAATAAGAAATTAACTTTTTTTTTTTTATTTTTGTTTATAATATATTATAAATGATTGTTTATTTATTTGAAATATTGGAGGTGATATACACTTTAAGACTCATTTACCAAGTATTATCTCAGAGCTGTGGGTGATGTAATATAATTTCATACGATGTCAGAATGATAAGTCGTTTTCTTTATACAATTGACAGGGTGTGGGAGTGTGTACTATTTTGGTACACAAGAAACAACTTAAAGAGAATGAAACGAGTATCCCGCTGGCTGGACTCCTCCTGTCCTTATCTTATAAATGAATTGTTTATTCTGTATTTTGCTGTAAAATATTTGAATTATATTTTAAAGGTATTATTTTAGTGTGAGTGTATTCTAAACAATGTGTAAATGTTCACTTTTAACAAATTACTAAAACGGGTATTGTACGTTCCTCAATATATCCGTGTCTGTCGTTCATTTGACAGCAACCTAACTTCTGGTTATATGTATGTGCTGTACTAATATAATAGCACCAAAGCTAACACAAGAATATCTTTTCATTGTTGTTTCTATTACCCTTAACAAAAATGATGGTGTTTTTTAATTCTTATTTTGAGTGTTATTCAAACCTAAAATCATAACCACTGTCAAAGTGTTATTTTTTTTTTTTAAATGTTATTAATTCATTCAATACAAATTAACATTAAATTGTAGTTTATTTCTTAAACATAATCAAAGTATATTACTTATTCACAAATAAGTATATGATCTGGAATGTGACCTATCAAGGAGTATGGAAGTCCTACCTTTTTAAAATTTAGTATGCTTGCACGTTCTTAGTATCCTCCAATGTTACCACCCGTGTACGAGACATATCTAGCCCTGGCCTGTTCTTATATAAGACTTACTCCAATACATCAAGTTTTGATGTTGAACCAAAGGAGTTTTGGTTTTTTAGTTCTAACACACATAAACATGAAATGTTTTTTTAATTTGTTTTTGCGTCATTGAAATAGAAATTAAACATTTTTTTTGTTGTTCACACCTATTTTTTTGTTTATAATATATTATAAAGTGATTGTTTATTTATTTGAAATATTAATATGTGTATTTATTTAGTGTAGTTGTGTCCTAAAGTATGTGATTGTTTCTACACTTTTCTAACCTAAAAAAATATAATCAAATACTACGATCCGT